CCAATGCCCTCAGTGGACAGTCTCGGCACCACCTCCCTCCGCAGCATCACCGTGACCAGTCGGGTTGGGGTAGTAAAAGGCTGCCACAGCAATAGCGACGTAGATGGTCACGCTCAAGAATCCCTCGAGGTAGTTGCTCTTCTGGTCTCGTAAGAAGTTACCGACGGTCAAGATAGCCAGAATGAGCATTCCAATATCAAAGACCTCGAAGACGAGGTCCATGTGCTTATGCAGGCCCCAGGCGACGATGGTGACGAGCGGCGCGTTAAACAAGGCCGTCTGCAGCGTGGCACCCAGGACATGGGAGAGGGCAAAGTTCATCTGATTGTCCCACGCCTCGTCAACGGCCGTCAGGTGCTCCGCCATCTTTTCGACAAGGGGGACGAGGATCAGACCCATAAAGGGGTCCGAGATGCTGTGTCGTTCGACAATGGGAGCGATCTGCTCGACGAGGTAGATGGCCATGAAGGTGACGAGTGTCATTGAAATGACGAGAGCGATGAGGCACTCGGTCAAGGTTAACTTGGGCTTGTTCATGTCCTTGCGCTTGTCGTGATCTCGCTGCTCGTCGTGCTCGAAGATGGCGTCGTAAATTCCGTGATGAGTCCGTGCTTGGAAGTACACATAGACCGTGTAGGCGATAACGAGAAGACAGGATACAATGCGTGAGATGTGGCGTGTCTTGCTGCCCAGTTCTTCGGCGGTGAGCTGGCTTTCGAGCGATTTGGCGAAAAGCGTCGGAATGGCAAGGGCAGCACCTCTGATCACATAGACTTAGCATCGATGGAACTGGTAGTCTGGACGGCGTTACTTACGCTGTGAGCAGCAAGCCGCTGCCAGCCTCACTGACCACCTCACTAAACTCGGCTTCGTCTCGTCGGATACCACCAGCAATAAAGCATAGTCCCAGACATAGAAGCATAGTTGCCAAGATGGATCCGAGGATGGCAGCCTTAATCACGGTAAACTGGTCCTCAGCGAGAAGTGTCATGAAGAGGATGATTTCGACGATAGATCCAAAGCTGAGAACCATTATTAGCGTCACGCCGTCACGAAGAAGACTGGATTTTGCTCACGTTGTCTCGATCAGCACGCCGAATACGTGGTTGACTTTGCGGGAAAGCTCCTGGCCAGCGAATCCAACCATGTTGGCACAGGGAATCATGGCGATGTAAGCGAGTATAAACATGAGGACATGGTCCCTCGGTCGAGTGTCTATGGGTTTGTGTCGTCAGACCCGTCTACGTACAGATTGAGAAGCCGGAGACTTACATCGAACGGCAAATGCAGCAGGAACGAAAGGCCAGAGAAGGTTGCAGAGACGAGAAGCCCGACTTGATGATTTCCAGGAGATCTTGAGGAATTTGATAGGATGGAAGCCTTTGCGGCCACTTTCGCCGGACGGCTTGACTCTGACTGTGCTACCTGGCGGAGCTTTCCGGTGTAGGTGTCCATTATGACTCGGTAGCTCTTCACGGGCGGAGTAGGTCGAAGTGCGTGCCTTCTCGGGTGGGATGATGGGGTGGTTAGACTCCCGTCGCCGCGATCGTCCGTCGGTGGACGACCTGTAGCTCTGGCGGTAGGGTGATCTCGGAGCCGACATGACGGCGAATCGAGGCTTCTGTGTGTGTCTAGACGGGATGTGATTTCTAGGTGCTTCACTCGGACAAGTTCAATGCCGGCAGGCCAGGGGGTTTGTCTTATATGAAGTCGAGGAGGGCGGATACACCGTGCTCGTGTCACTGGGATGAGGGACGGTGAAGAAGTGTGGAACGGCCCCAATACCAAGACTTTTGACAAGATGGCTGGATGAACAGTGGAAAGGGGAGGGGGATATAAACGTATTATCTAGAGATGGAGAAAGTGAGGGCCCTTATTCCCCAGTGTTGATCAACGTGGTCCAGTCCGTCGGTGGTGGCCGCGGGTAGCGGTAGCAGGGGTCGTTCAAGGTTGTCCGGGGGGCTGGGCTGGGCTGGACCGGGCATGGGGTTTCGGGGCGAGTACGTTTCAACTTGAGCTTCTCTCGCTGTTGACCAGTCGGTGAGAAAGAGAGGGGTGGGCTGAGAGGGACGAGTACTCTGGTCCTGTTGCTGTGCAAATACACATAAATCTGGACCTGGACTGCGTAAGGCAAGGAAGTGCGATGGACCGGTGATTTGGGCAATTTTCAATCCGGAAGAGAGGAAGAGAGTTTGTGACATGTTCGGCTTCGCAGCATATTTAGCAAGGGGAGCCGAAGGTAAGGCAGACGACGAGAAACCTTGCGCGGTTGAGTTCGAGGCGTGTTGAGTCGGTGAATCAGGGCACAGCCAGGCTTGCTGTCATGCCAAGAGCTCTGACAGAACCCCTGTGCATTGTTGGACGAGTGAGAGAGCACGGCGGCGTGTATGGGTACACCTGGCCAACTGGCTCGTTCGACGGGCGCCGCCTGAAATACCGTGAAACCAAAGTATAAGATACTTTTCCTGTCCGTGTGTGAGGATGCGACGCGTGCCTGAGGTGGTAATTGGAATCCGCCGCTGGGTAGATATGCCTCGCTTTCTGGAAGCTGCTTCATTTCTGTGTCGAGGGCTCTGCGGATTCCGCAGTGTTTTTGGTTGTTGTTAATTTCTCGTCGTGTTTTACAGCGACGCGATAGACTTTGCACCGCGGATACCAGTGCACCACTCACAGACAGGGCGGTGATGCAGGCAAGGGGGGGGGAAGGGGAGACAATTGCTCGCCAAGACAAAACGTCGTGCAGATAAGCAGCGGCCCAACGACGCCAACGACGCCGACGACGTCACAAGCCTTCCAGACCCCTGAGGACTCCAGTCCCGGAGCACTTCCTCAATGTCACGCCAGCAGAATGAAGTAGTACGGATACGTCTGTCTCTCTTCCTCCACCAGTGATGAGATTGTGCCAAGACTTCAATTCCAAGATTCCAGAGTTCACGCGCATCCAGCCAGAATGTTTCTTGGACGTTAGCCGTCATCAATGACCATGCTGACATCCGACATTGATTCTCATCTTCCTTTGAGCCTAACCCTCTCCCAAAGGGTTAATCGATCCATCCCCCGCGGAAATCTGCTAGGTTCCTCCTCGTCAAGTGCCGAGGCTTTCCAGCCTCTGGGCAAAGTTATGCAGCAAGCGGGCGTCCAAAGCATCCAGACTCCAACTTCAGCCCGCCCGCCCTGGAGTTGCAGGGCAATCCTCCGTACTATCCGTACAATTGACGTTTTCCTAAGACTTTCCGAGGGAGGCAGCCAAGCACAGACGTCGACGGATTGATAGGTACCATGCGCACAGGGGCCAAGGGGGAAGGCTCAACTCCAAGAGACCTGCCCTATAACACCCATCGTTCCAAGAGCCTACAATCGGAGCCAACAGAAACCAAAGTCGAACCAGGTCAGACCAGGGGATACCAAGACCAGCCAAGAGGAACCTTGCGTCTCCCATCGACAAGCCAAGCAAATGCCACGAGCGTCCATAGCCTGAGACACCGTCGAACATTTCATCTCCACCTCCACCTCTCCCACCCGGTGACCCGATGAGTGAACCGTTCCATCCCAGCTTCCCCTTGGCAAAAGCTTTTTTCACCCGCCTGCATTCACGTTGCTTCCACTGCCTATCCTTGCGCACATCCCCTTCTGGTGACCACAGACGGGCACTTGTTTTTATTTCCATCTACTGTGTAAAACAAAATCCCGGAATGGCCAAAACAATATCCATTTACTTGCAGCCTACCGGGAGCCTGCCTTACGTCTCGGGCCCTCTATTAAACTTCTGCCTCCCGTACACATCCCGTGCCGCTCCTGCCGCTCCTACTGCTATGAGTTGCGACAGGATCATCAAGCGCAAGGGTCCAATCCCCAACGCCATTCCAACTTCGTGTTGCCCAACTTCACCCGACTGAGTACCTGAGCCGCGGATGTCGCTTGAGCTCGGTAGCTTCCGAACCGCCACTCAAGCGTTGTAACCCCGGCTTGTCTCGGGTGGACCAAGATGTCCTCCGTCTGGTATCGAAAGCATTGGGAGAACCAAGATTCCAACGCATCTCGACTAATCAGCGAAGATGGACCCCGGATCAAAATGACCCGGGACCTACTGGTGTCTGGCTGCGATGCTGATTTGATCCGGTTCCATCTGGCCGAAGGACGACGTCCTCCAACAACGACCCTTCCCTGAACAATTGCTCGGAGACAATTTGCAGCTGCAACTCGGTTGAAGAAGACTACCTTGGCTGCTGCAAAAGGCATGTTTGCAGCCGGGTTTGCGGCATTGATGACTGTTGAAAACACTTTGCCTATAGGGGCACATCTTGCGATGGCCTCTAGTAGCATCTTGTAAGTGCAATTGGTTGGAAGCCCGGTGAGCCAAAGGGCAGTATTCTCATTGTTGTTGATTTGAGCACTTTGATTCTGCATGTTCAGTGGATCACCCTGGTAGTTGGGTGAAAAGTCGTACAGATCTCGAGCAAAGCGTAAGATAGCTTCTTCATGTGGTGCCCGCCTAATATGTTGCTGCTTGTCAGCAACCATTCGCATGACCTCAAAGCCTCTGCATTGGCCTCTTGTGGTCGTTGTACTGGCAATGGAAGGTTCTGTGTGAATGGGAACTAGCTGTCCAACACTGGCAATATGGGAAGTGCCATTGTTGAAGGAATCTTCGTGGGAGCTTCCAGCTAGGACTCTTCCAGCCATGTCTCCGCTTCGACTTCCTCTGGTCGCCCCTCTGGCATGACCAAGGCCACCGTCGTGGGCAATTTGAGCGGTAGTTGTAGGAGTGGTGCCTGCATTTCGAGCCTGATTGTTCTCAAGGTCTAATTGGGCAAAGTATGACGCCAGCACCTGGTCGTGGGGAGCAAGGCTTTGATCGACGTTGAAAGGCTTCTGAGCCATTTCTTTTGTGAATGTTAGTGACTGCTCAAATTGATAGACATTGAGGGAGTAACATACTGGATGCTCCTCGTACTGTCGGCAGATGAAACCTTTGATATGAGACAAAAGACGCGAGATGTTGAAGGACGCTTGATCTGTAGAAGCTCTTTCTGATGAAGCAGGCTCCTGTAGGATGGTATATGGAGCTTTTGTGTGGGAAGGAACAATCTCTTGAAAGAAAAGAATGTCCTTTGAGGCAGCTCAGGTCGTTCTTTCTTGGATTGAGAAGCTTCTCGGATGAAGGTCGGCTTGGATGGAAAAATCGTTGGAAGGTATGGAGATAGTAAGGATAATTCTTTTCCTTCTTCGGGAGCCTGGTCGGACGGGAAGATTGCGATAGCCTCTATAATCGAGGAAAGTTTCTGGTCTACCACGGTTTGATCGATTGCTGGATGCTTGAAGGAGGTAGCGTGTGAAAGAAAGATACGATCGAATGGGTAGTAGCTTGGATGGAAGCAGTGGTGGGTTGAGAATGGGTTGATGGGGTTTAGAGGATGAGGAAGGGGGTTTAAATAGGTCTGGTGAGGGAGGCGTCGAAGAAGAGCGCCTGGAAGGCGCTCCGGAGGCAGTCGAGGTAAAGGAGGAAAGTAGGCATCACTTGTGGGAAGGGGCGATGGGGTGAGGTAGGCCAATTTGTGTATTCACAACGCTTGAATATACTGGGTAATCTGAGAAACGTCTCCAACATATTGCTCCTGCTCCTATTAGCAGCTTTGTGTCCTATTTTCTCAACATTAAGTACTGGACGCAATGGTCGATGGGTTCTGAGGTTCTGATTCCTTGACTAGACCATGAAGTTCGTGGTTCTACATCGAGGTTCCGATCATTCGTTCTTCGATCAGTCCATTCCTCTTTTTTTTTTCCCCCTCTTTTTCACTTTTTTAATGAGATGTCTGATGAAGTATCGAACTATCGTGTGTAGTAGGCAGAAGCGAATAAGTATCTAGCTCTCCGTCTAAGGCATTCTGCTCCTGGCTAATAGAGCTTCATCTGGAGCACTATTTTAGTACGTTGGCATCTCGACCTTGGTATCACAACTCCTTCTAGGGTGTTGACCACACCAGTCTTTTCACAAAATGCCATCCAAACCCCTAGTGCGATCCATTGACGTCAGCTAGCTATCTTCAAGTGAGGAGATGAAAGAAAATTGAATCAAAAAGTACAACGCGACGGGCGAGGATCGAGAAGTAGGCTGCCAATGGCTTTGTGGTGATGAGAAATTACCATAGGGTCGTTCCCCTCGACAACCGTATCTGGCTACCTACCCCTTTTCTCTCTAGTGGGAGGGAACGGGTGAAGTTGATTGACTTACTTATATGACTCTTTAAGGCGCGGGTATGCATGAGTAGATGGACGTGGTATTCTTATGAGTTACAATAATTTCAGCTCTATTCGGCTTCTTCAGCAGGATTAAATATCATCGAGCCGTCACACCTCTTCACCTTCTTGCGTTGTCTCCTCCTGACCAGTCCACGCCTCAGCCTCTTCCAACAATACCGTGTCATGATCATCAAACTCCTCCTCCTTAATCTCCATCAGCCTGAGGCTATTCCCATCCTTGGGCGGCACGGTCTGGGCCACGACAACTGTCTCAATGCCCGCCGGGCAGTACTCTTCAGGACCCATCGGCAACGCATCAACATCAATCTCCAAGTTGAGCAGGGTCTTCAGAATTACCTGGCTGCCAGCCTTGCTCATCACCTCGTTTGCCTGCTTGCACTGGTCCGACGCCACGCACTCCCTGCAGCCGTGCTCGCAATAGCAATCCTCGACTCGTTTCACGGCCTGCTGCAGGAGGTGGTCGACGTGCTCAAACGCTTTGGTGCTGATCCCCGACCCGCTGGCACCGCCCTTGGCATCATAAAACGTTAGTCGCCCTGGCCTCTTCCTCTGGGAGTCCTTCTTTGCGAACTCCTTCAGCGCGATTTTGCATTCTGTTCGGACGTCGCCTGGCAGACTGATGACGAAGTTGGGCATCAGGCTGAGGATGGCGTGCTCAGCCGCGTGGATTGACGCAGCGATATTCAATCGCCGGTCGACTAGGATCTGCAAGGCTTTCTTGGGTATGTCGAGCCACATTCCCTTGCCGTATCTGATGACGGGAGGATTGTCGACATGCACGGCATCGAGCACACGCTTCTTCTTGTCTACCTTGAAGAATCCATATACGTTCTGCTGGATCTTGATTGTGCCGTAGAACGCTCTTGACATGGATCCGGATATCTTGCGAATGGCTTCCGTCTCGATTGGATCAATATCGGTAAAGTCCCGTTGCGTTGTGGTCCATTCGACCTTGACGCGCTCCACTCGCGCCATCATCTTTTCGGGCTGGAAGTCCCTGACAAGGTACTTGCTTCCCTGGTGAAGAAAAATGGCACCGTCGTATATTGTAAACGTCGCTCTTGATGCTTCAAGCTCCTCCAAGACCTCATTCTTACCGTGGCTGATATCGATAATGGCGAAGTGATCATCTTCAGTGTCACGGATGGCGACGAATCTCGAAGGGATGGGGCGAAATCGATCGTGGCAATGAAAAAAGCCCAGAGGATCCTTCACCAGCCTCTCTTCACAGATCATGGGCAAATCTTTGCCAAAGTACTGAGCATCCTCAGCCGGTCGAATAGGCATTTCGTATGCGGCACACTGGATGTGTCCTTCCCGCACCAGCATGTTCTCCAGATCGACCTGCAGCTCACAATTCGGCTTGGAAAAAATTTCATCAGGATTCTGCATGTAATGTTGGTCGGTGGGAAAACAGTCGCCCACCAACACTGAAAGCGAGTCTTTGTTCCTTCGTCCAGCTCGACCGCTCTGTTGACGCAAGTTAGCGATGGTATAGGGAAATCCCCACGTCAGCACACAGTCCAGTGTGCCAATATCGATACCAAGCTCCAAGGCCGTGGTCGCGACGATGCCGAGGAGTTTGCCCTCGAACATCTCTGACTCGATTCGCCGTCGGTCTTGCGCCGTGTAACCACCTCTATAGCCCATGACTCTGTTTACGCACTCTGATCGCCCAAGTGATTCTAGTTCCTGCTGCACCGCCGTGACAAGTTTTTCGCACTGCTCTCTGACTCTTGTAAAGGCAATAATGCGGACGCCCCTGAGCATGAGCTGGCAGAAAAGGCGAGCACATTCAAACAAGGCATCACCTCGACCGCTCGCCGGATCTCCAGGGTCCCTATACGGCGTGTTCCAGCAGAGAAACTCTTTGCGGCCTGGCTCAAGTCAGTCTAGGGAAGTTTGAAATGGAATAAGGAGAAACATACCCGACGGTGATCCGTCAAAGTCAACCAGCCGCACATTTTCAATGCCGAAAATTGTCTTAAAGTGCTGCCTTGGATTTGCCACTGTCGCAGAACATGAGATGAACTTGATGTGGCGGTTGCCAACAGCAGCACAAATTCTTCGCAGTCTTCTCATGATGAATGCCACGTGAGAACCCATCTGCCCATTGTAGTAGTGCAGCTCGTCGACGACGACATATTTGAGATTCTTCAGGAACGTCCTCCACCTTTCCTCTTGGGGTAGGATGGTGATGTGCAGCATGTCTGGATTGGTGAAGATGATTCTCGCCTCCTCTCGAATCACATTGCGTTCTTTCATCGGGGTGTCTCCATCGAAAGTCTCCACGAGCACTTCCTCCATGCCCGGCATATAGCTCATAAGCTCCCTCAAACTCCGTTTTTGATCTTGCGCCAGGGCTTTCGTCGGGAATATATACATGGCTCGAGTGTGCGGGTTCTCTTCCAGGGCGTGGATCACCGGCAGCTGGTAGATCAGAGACTTGCCGGAACTCGTCGACGTTGCCACGACGACGTGCTGCCCTTCAAGCAAGCCATTGATGGCCTCAGTCTGATGCGCAAAGAATTGCGTGATGCCCTTTGCGTTGTACAGCGCATTCACGAGATCCTGACTGAGAAGGAAGTTTAGATCGCCGTATACAGGTTCTTGCGGCTCGAATACCCGGTGTCCATCGGGCACAATCTGCCCAGTGTACCAAGAGCATTCTTTCAGCTCCTGCACAATTTCTGGGACACTTTTTCGCTCCGTCGGGATTGACTCAGGCAACGCTCCGAGATCCTTTGGCTCCACCTCCTCTGCGATAGTCGGTACAGGAATATGAGCCTCGGTTGCTGTTGCCAGACTCAGCTCAGGGTCCAGGCCATCAGCAACGCATTGGTTGAGAAACTGGTTAATGGCATCGTTGAACTTTTGATTCCGCCTCTCGATCAAGTTCGTCATCTGCTTTTGGCTGTAGACAGGCATCTTAAGAGTCTCTTCTCTCAGCTTCCTGTTCGGCTTGATGATCTCGCCCGTCTTCTTGTCCTTCACCTGGCGCTTCAGGTCGCCATCCACGAACTCAAAGTACAGCACTTCCTTGCCTCCTTCAACAGCATCATCGGGGTGGTGATCGAGCTTTTCCATACCCGAAATACCCCCGACAGAGGCATCCGGAGCGGGAGCCTGAGAGAGGAAGTCCCGCCCTTTCTTGAACACCACATCGCGCTCAGCGCCCCTGACCTCTGTCTGCAGCATGATCTCATCGACATAGGCAAAATTGATACCTTCGGGGCGTATGGCGGCGATGGCAGCGATATCTTCGACTGTTAGCGAAGTTTTTGTATGCGATTCTACCGAGGATTTGATAGTCTCAAACGTGGTGGCGAGGTGTTTGCGAGTACAACAAAAAGTGAAAACAAGATTTAGAGCGCGATGTGTCTTTTCCAAGTCCTCGAAGCGTTGGGGCCACTCGATCTTGCACTCCTCGGCCGCGGCTTCTACGCTGGCCGTGCTATTCCGTGTTGACCCAGCCTTTTTTAACGTAGCCCGCTTCCAGGACTTGGCCGTCTTCTGAGTGTCGGTGGAAGCTGCGCCATCGGTGTTCGGTGGACCATCCCCCAAAGATTCAACACCATTCTGGTCATTCTGTACAGAGGTTTCCTTTTCAATTTCTGATCTCTTCCTCTTACCCCGTGGCTTTCGTACTGTCGCCTTGAGCTCGCCAGGAGCAACAACGCTTGACATGATCGCTAATACCAGTAATCCGTCCGCATCAGGCCGTCATTACCTAAACACAAGGTGAGGAAGTGAGTATTCAAAGTTTACCTAGAAAGTGACCCGATCCGGCAATCCTGTGAGAAAACCAATGGAAATGCAAATGGCGAAGTGTAGCAGTCGTGCGTGGTATTTGGATGCGCGACGTCACTACCTCCCAGGTCAAAGAAGTCGTCTGCGTCACGTAATCCACACCATGTCACGTGCACCACATACAGTATCACCTTCCTGAGCCACGAACTTCAGTCGTCAAATGGCTTGTGCAGCACAGGTATGATTCTATTTCTGGCATTGCGAATGGGGACTCGTTCTTCAGTCGAATTGTGTCCATGTTACAGTGTACTGAGTGATATCTAAATGTATCGAAGGATACCTGATTCCCTGGTATCATGGCAGGAGAGGGGCCTGAGATATCCGCCTAGTCAAACTGAACTCCCAAACAAATCTGTGTTGTCCCGCCAATTGTGCCTGTCCGTCTTGCCCGCTCTCTAAGGTAGCCTCTGGCCTCCAGGCGGCCGCTGGGAAATGCTCACGCCTGCCTTATTTGTATGGCGCTGCGCACTCGATTTGTATCATTGTACAAACATAGGCGGCATCGACGCCGACGGATGCATCAATACCACTTTATAAATGTTGGTACGAGTCACTCAATTGCTCAAAAGCTCTCGCTGTACCATCCCAACCTCATTGAGGAATGACTTCGCACTAGCGGCACTCAGCTGGATGGTGATGAGTTAGTAAATCAAGATGATGTACAGTCTGATAGTGTTGGGGAGCACATACTCTCACGTGAACGCTCACAGGCTTAGCTTCCAGGCCCTCAAAGGCCGTGAACATGACGCCAACGCTCTTCAATGTTGCCTTTTCCTGGAACTGCATCGCCGGCAGGATGACTGTGTTCAGTAGTATCCTGTGTGTCTGATCCTGCCTCATGATGAGACGAGGCACTTTATTGCCTCTGCTTTCGCCAGCCTCAGGTTCTTCTGTCCCTTCCAGGGCCGATGCGTCAAAGGAGCCAGGTATCGGCACACCGGCTTCGTCAAACTGGACGCAGGCTTCTGGGACATTAATCTTGAGCATACCAGATCCTCGTTCCTTCCAGCCGACCTCCTTTTCCAAGTAGAATATCTTGGCTCTGACCTGGACTATGGTAGCCTCTCCGGCTTCGCCGTCGTCGACAGTGACTGTAGCTGGTCAGTATCACCTCGTACCCCAAATGCGACACCGCTTGCTTACTCTTCTGCAGCTTGGTACGTTTCTTATCATCCACAGCCTTGGCTTCCTCCTTGTCGGACTCTTCCTTTTCGTCCCTATCGCCAGACTCTGAAGCCGCATCGGCATCGCCTTCAGTTTCATCATCGTCAGCCTCTTCCGCGTCGCTATCGGGAGCTCCAAATGGCTTGGCAGCCTTCTCAGACTTGAAAGAAGACTCGCCCGTCTTGGCGAAGCTTGAGAGTGGCTTGCCGCCCAGACCGCCGCCAAAGGCACTGCCAAACACTGAGCCAAAACCACCATTCGCGCTGGCGGGCTTAACGCTGGCGAAAGGCGACGAGGCCGAACCGGCACCACCGAAGCTTAGGGTAGGTGTAGGAGCGGGAACGGCGGCAGGCTTGGATGAGGAGAGGCCGCCGAAAGGTGACGCGCCAGATGATGCTCCGCCGCCGAAAACACTTCCTTTGCTCGCACTTCCCAACGAACCGAAAGGAGACGCACTCGATGCCGCCAGTTTGGCGAAGCCAGAGCTGGCAAATGCAGAACTCGATGTTGCCTTCTTGTCGTTGTTTGTATGATCCTGTGATGTAGCTTCTGTAGCAGCATTCTCTTTCGTCTTTGTATCGGTAGCCGGTGGCGCCTACAAAGGAACAGCGTCAGTATGCATGGCAATACTAGAAGCGGCACGGTCAAAGCCTACAGAGGAATCGGCCGCAGGGTCACCAGAGCTGGCAACTTCGTCCCTATGTCTCTTCTTCTCTGGCTCCAGCCGCAAGGCCCTGTCCTTGGCCGAGTCGCTCGAGGCAACACTTTTGACGTCGGCTTCGTCGGCGTCCTTGTCCTCATCTAGCTGATCGTGTGCACGCTTCTTCTTCGGCGACGAGACGTGGTCCTTGTGGTCCTCGTTCTGCGATCCTGAAGGCGTTGTCTCGGCGGTGGCTCCTTCTGCGTAGGACTTCTCTGAAATGGCCGTATGCTTCAGCTCTTTGCGGGCAGCAGCGGTTTCGGCGTCCTCCATTGCGTCGATCGGGTCCGACTTGGGACTGCCCGGCTGGGGATCGTCAGCCATGGTGATAGGTGCGTTCCGTCGTCGGGGTTCGTCGTGTACGTCGTCGTCGGGTGGTGGTGCGGAGGTCTCTGTGCCCGACTTTGCCAGTGTTGGAGCAAAATCGGTGTAGTTCAGTAGCGTGGAATTTGCTGGCAATGGGGTTTGCCGCGCAGACGGGAAGCCAAAGGGAAGCCAAAGGCAAGAAAGAAAAGTCACAGGTGCTGTCCAAAAAGAGCAAGAGTTGTCTCCACGAAGAGAGCAATAGTCACCGAGTCGTCGGCAGGGTAAGAAAACCGAGGCCCGCGTTTCTGGGGCGGTGGCGGTGGTGTCGCGCGACTGGCGGTTTGGGGGCTAAGGTTGTGGTTGAGAAATGTCTGGCAAGGCAAGATGGTCCAGGTAGGTAGTGGCGCTGCTATGATGCAGTAGGTACACCTCAGTAGAGGCGAGATGCGGTGACAATAGGCCGGGCCAGTAACCTGCAGGTGTCTGGTCCTCGTCTTCGCAGAGAGATTTGGCGTTGCTGCTGAGATGCGAATAATTGGATGGGGCCGACTCTGGGCAATCGATCCAATCAATCGTTGCGCTCCGGCTCGGATAAGACAACGGCACGATGCTGGCCAGGCAAGAAAAGCCCACCTCAGCTTGTCCCAGGTTGAATTCCATTGGGCCCATGGCGGCATACATTAGCGCGTTTTGCCTTTGAGATGGGCTAGAACTACCTTACCCTAGAAGTCGCTACATCTGTATCTTTGTCTGTCTTGGTTTTCAAATCAGGCATTGATTCTGTTTATATTTTTATTTTTGTAGCACCACCCTGCCGCAATATACCAAGGGAGATGTCGATACGACGAGGACCCTGCCCCGACCTGATGATACCTCACTGCAAGTGACCTGACAGGAAGTGAGGGGTATCTTAGACTCAAAAAGGTTGGGTGGTGTATCCGTAAGGTATAGTAAGTTAAGGTACTCTGTACCGTTCCTACGGCGGGGTTCCCCGCCTCCGGCGTCCTTCAGGGCCGCTCGTCTGAGGTGTCAGATGAATGGCTTTGCCGTGGTATGGCTGTCCCAAAAGGGCAACGCAGGTGACATTCTAGCGGCAACTACCGACGCCGCTTGCAGCCAGTCTTTAAGAGACTTTTCCAACAAGTGGTAGGTGGATTTAATTCGGTAGTTGTTCTCGGTGCACAATTCCCACTCGGAACCCTTGATCTTTCCAGGGGGTTTTTGGCATGGGACAAATCAGATACTGCGGCGCGTCCGAGTCATCGCGAGGCAGGACACCCAAGACAACTAATATTGACAGCAGAGTTTCAATCATACACTCTTATTCATTGGCCTACCCTCATCTGAGGATGAGTAGCACAACATGGATACGTAGAATACAGTGTGCACCTAAAGTCCTCGCCAAGGCCCCACATAAAGTACAGCTCAACCTTCTCACCTCGCCCCCGGTTCCGAATTGCACCTCCGTCGCAGCTTAGCTGATGAAGCAGAGGCATCCCAGGCCGAGGTAGAAGACGAAGAGCGGGTACACGGCGATGCCTACTCGGTTCTTGACCACACCACTGCCGCCTAGGATGCTTACGCCTGCCGCCAGAGACCATGCGACGAGGACAAGATACACAGGGACCCGGACAACGGTCGGGATGCCAAAGGCCGAGAGGAGTGCCGCGATCACCAAGGGGAAAAGCGTGTAGCCTATGATGCATACACTTTGGGCGAAAGAGCTACGTTGGTCTATTAGTTTTCGCCGACACAGACATTCAAGGCCGCCGCGGAGAGCGCAAGGGAACAACAACTCACATGCTTCCTCCCAACAGCTTGATCTGTAACGTTACCACGGCCTCTCCGATCCATATCATGGCGAAGACACCGCTGAACACGACATCCTTCTGGTCTGGCCGCGCGTTGAAGCTAAGCAGAAGACTGAGAAGCAGGCAGAAGATGAGGGGCCCCCAGAGATCCCAGTCACGCAGGCCAGGTGTCATGTTGTTCTGCGACAGGAGCGCCTCGGAGTCCATGAAGCGACTGGCCAAGCCCGTAAGCTCCTCACGAGCTCCAGAGATGCCAGCCCCACGGATATTCGCGTATGCGCCCCGGAGGCCATCAGCATCGAACATGGTGCCTCCCAGCAGGTACTTGGGGTAGAGGACCTCCCTCATCTTAGCCCAGACGGCAAGGAGGTCTCGTCGGAGGGTATCCCACACCGACTCGTCGATTGTGTTTTGTGGAGCTGCGCGGTCTTCACCGGGTATGCGAGATGTCCAAGCATTCTCATTCAGTGGCCGCGACGAAGAGGAACTCGAGCCGATATTGCCTGTCAATGGCTGGCGTGAGGATGTGTTGCCGAGAGGGTCGTCGAAATCATCTAGGTCAGCTGAGTACAGGTCGATTGTTAGCTTCCATCGCTCGTGGCTACGGTGTAAGTTCTCTTCAAAGGCTTACCGTCATCAGGGTCAATCAGGTCGTCGTCAGGCAAGGGAGGGTTGGCATAGTCGTCTCGTTTGCTCGTAGTTGCCATGACTGAAATTGATATTGTTGGCTACCACCACTACTTTATCCTTTCGTGTTCTGTTATTGATAAAAAAGGTGCGCACGGGATGTGTCTTTGAATCGTTCTGTTTGACCGCGAATGCTTCACTATCAAATTAGAGATGGGATGGACATTCTGTCTAACTGACATACGTAGCAGCTTGCGCCTCCTGGAAGACTCCACGGTTTCCTCCAACGAGCATCAGATGGTCCAAGCTCCCTTGAACCGGAAAAAAGAGATCCGCACCCCGATCCACCTGTCGCTGATAGGCCAAGGCAGGGTCCGTCTAACGTGCCACCCCCACTCCGCGCTATACCCACCCAGGCACGGATTTCAATGTGGGTTCCCATCCGTGACGGAGCCGATCCGCTGGTGCCCGGGTCTCTTGGAATTTGAAACGTGGAATCCGAGTGTAAACAGTTTTCCCCTGGATTACCTAGTTTGACTAAATACGCTATAACCCAATATCAGCAAGCATCTTGCTGCTCTTCTTCTAAGGACAGGCACTCCCTCCTTTGCGAGCTCGATGGCCTCCGTTTCGCCTCGCGGGTATCTTATCATTTTCACGTCCGTTTCTAGTAAAACGCGGAACGCCGATGCCTGGTACACTCCCCTCCAGTATTCTTGTTGCCAGAGGGAAACCCCCCAATATTTTCCCCCGCCGCCTCCGACCAATGCTGACTACTCAGAGGGTTCATAAATCCTCTTATGTACTTTCCTTCGTAGATCGATGGTATTCTGTAGAGTTTGTCAATGCGCTTCTGGAAGCAGGGGATGTTAAATCTCGTGCTTCCATCTCCCATCGCCGGGGGTGACAACTACTGCCATGGGTAACGATAACCATGAGATGGATCATTTAGTCCGGCCGATGTGTTTAGGCCATTGCCGGCGTTTCCATCGACACGTCTGTTGGATTGCCCATTGGTTTGTCCGTTTGATTGTCCACCGGCATTTCCACTGACTTGTCCATTGGAATTACCATTAGCCTGGCCTTGGCCGTTGTACGGTGGGGGCACTTCGCCCCATGAATGATTTTCTAGCGCTCCTTGTTGGCCAAAGCCTTGCGGTTGTTGGTGCTGTTGATGGCTCTGCTGTAAGTCGTGGTTCCGTTGCTGCTGATGATGTTGGTGATGCTGGTCTCGATGGCTGTTGTTCCGCGGGTAAGGGTCATATGCCGATGTGTAGGCGGGCTGGAGACCAGGCCATGTGGGCGGCGGTGGCTGAGAGTAGATGTAGCTGCTCATCCCACTCTGAGGCACATGGCCATAACCGGATGGCATGCCTTGGGAGTATGACTGCTGGTAAGCTGATGAGGACGGGCCAAAGGCCTTCTCCTTGTCGTATTGGGCCCATCGACGAACCGCCTGGTTTTCCGGTCCATGCAAAGCAGCACTTCCCGCACTGGGATCCCAGACAGGCAGCCCGTCTGGCTGAGATTCGCCGCGTGGCATTCCTCGCGTGTACGTGGCGAGATTGCCATTGATTCCCACCAGTGCCCAGGCAAAAACCGCAACGTCTCTGATGGAACTCATAAGATGATCTACAGGTGGACCCCCAGCAGCCATAACGTTGTCTTGCAAAGGCATGTATTGAGGCATGAGAGGAGGCCTAAAGGTATAGAGCATCTCCTGAGGGACTTGAGGCCGGATGGGATGTTGACCCCAAGGCGCAGCAAAAAGACCATTGGTGTAAGTCGGGACGACCAACGGCGGGTGAGGTGCTGGAATCGGTGGGCGCGCTCTGCGAATGACAACAACCAGACCATCGGACGTGCATGACACAACAGCCTCGAGCTCAAAAGCCTGGGGTGGTTCCCGCCGACGGTCTCGCATGGGTTCCGCGGGCGTCGATGCCTGGGCCGCCGATCCGTCAACTGACGGGGCGGTGGTAGCTGCAGTGTGTTGCGTTTGGTTGCTCGAGCCCGAGGCGTTTGTGGTTGCTGTTTGGTTTGCAGAGCTGTGATTCGACATATCCGGACGGCCTTGATCTTCTTGTTTGATCGCAGGACTGTCATCATCGTCAATGTCCATGCGACCATCGAGTTGAACACCTCCGCCATCAGAGTCACTAGAATTTCCGCTATTGTGCTCTTCGTCCTCCTCCCCATTGCCAAAATCTTCAGGCCGACGCGGGTCTCTATACCAAAACCTTAGATAGGCAATCGAGTCATTGGCCTTTGCGCTCTCCAAGCAACGGATGGCATCCGGCAAGCAATTCTCCTGTATGCATTCGTAGAAGCTCTTGTCTTTGATCTGGTCGGGTCTGACGCCGAGAATTGACGAGACCGCATTGGTCGCGAACATGACGGTCAGGGTGCGGGTGAATCTGTTCAAGATGAGAGCTGCGCGCGGCTCGCGTTCCACAGGAGGCATTCTGAACTTGGGTGACAGATGCTCCAGCATGTGGTAACGAGGGTCCCGAGGGGAACTCGAAAACAGTCGACGGATCTGAGGTGCTTCGACGGCTCGTCCTGTCAAGACATTAGCATTGGAGCATATGAAAAAGAGACTGAAATCCTCGCTTACTGTGACTCTTTTCGTCCCGGCGGTAAATACTGGTACATGCAACCAAAACATCGTGGACGACAGTGAAGCAGCATTCGCAGCTGACCCACTGGCCATTGCGTGCCCTGATGCGAACATAGTGAAGCACTGCTGCCTTGTCCAGCAAGACGCCGCGGCTATGGATAGAGCGAGCGAAGGGTACCTCGTCGGGGTGGAAGAAGTCAAAACATGATCTGCCCTGCACTTCCTGAGAGGTATAACCCAGTATGTCGTATACTGAGTCGGACACGAATAAAATAGCAGCGTTAGGGTCCGTGGAATGAATGGTCATGAACGTTTGCTCCATGGCAAAGAACAGTTGGCTCGTGGCTGAAACAAGGCCTGGGGTATATGTCCGATAAATCGCAGTTACGTCCGTCTCCTCGCACGTAATCCGGAATCTTAAATGGCTGCGAATACAGGCAGGTAGCCTTTAACAGAATGCCTGTAGGCCGTTGAGAGCTTGGTGGATGCTCAATACCGCGAGGTGCCGTATCAGTGGCTGTGGCAAAAAGAAGCTCGACTTATCTTAATTGGCAGCTGTAATACGTCTGGGAGAATCGGGTCTGAGCTGAATGGTTGTTTTCTCAAAGCTCTGTTGGATGTGGCATCAGCCGGTTGCTGGGCGTGGGACTCAAATTGCGCGCTGTCAACTCCCAAGCGAAGGCTAGCCGCGTCAATCTCACGGGCTATACTGATTGAGTGGCCAGGGCAAGAAACGGTGGACCCGACTTATGTGGTTGGCACAGGGTAGCGGGGGTGCAGAGTATGGACGGATTGCGTCGCGTCGTACACACGCAGGTATGCGCAATGGAAGAGAACGGACCGGAGGTGCTCAAGTAACTGTTGCCAGCGTGTATGGTATGGGTCCAGATGGAGGAAACGGGAGCTGAAAGTCGAGGTGTAGTCGGATACCCAAGCTGGTAGTGCGGAGAGGGCGCAGTCCTCCGAGAACGAGACCGTTGGTGGTGGTGGAAGAGGTAGGTATTGAAGTTGGCGGGCGTTGCGAACGTTGCAGTCGCTTGAGGTTAAGATAGTCTGAGTTTGAGGTACATGCAGGCACAGATACCTGACGTAGTGGACGCACTCGGACCTTGAACAAAGGTTGGCTGAAATATCGAAGAATATTTCGAGGTGAGGCTGGCAAGCAGACGCAGGACTAAGGTATCTAGTTGGGACGGCTGCTAGTGGCGAAAACAACGGGTCGATTGAGAGATGCCGTTGGTTTGAGGTTCGGGGTCAGAATCGCAGCGAGAACAAACACCTAATAGTGTACTAATGGCTGAGAGGAGGAAAAGAAGAAGGAGAAGGAGGTCTGGGGGAGTGCCATGTGTTGCGAATGGCGGAGGAGGCGAGCATCTTTTTATGACAGCTCGTCTGGCAAAAGGTGCAATGAGAGGCTGCGGCGGCGGCGGCGGCGGCGGCAGAGGGAAGGGGGATGTCCAGCTCTGCTCTGCTCTCCTATGCTCTGTGACGGCACGGCACGGCACCGCAGCTCCTCAGTGCAGCGCCCCCCTCCCCCTCTCAAGCCAGCGGCTTCGCAAAAACGGATGCGGATAGGGCAAGATTGGTGAGGAGAACTGGCAGGGCCCAGCTGAGGAAGACAGGGTCTCGGGGCCCAGACCCCCCCTCCACCTTGCAGCAACAGCAGCAGCCCAGGTATCTCTGCGCTTACGACTACGACCAAGACTGCCACAAGGATGAACACGGCTGTCGACTTTTCGACCTTCGACCTTTGACTTTCGACTGCTACCCCGGCAGCTGAGCAGATGTGGGTGCGTAAGGCATGCCCGCGCGCTCCAGAGAAAGTACCTGACGGATACACAGATGAGACTTGCGACTGACAAGACCTACCTTGGACGAGGTGTGTATCTCTCTGGCGGCTCGCCTCCGCTGGGCAGCCCACACTACACAAGGAGGGAGCTTCGACCGACCGAACGCGCCCAGATGTGCCAGACTCCGGGAGTCCAGAGCCATCATCCTTGTGGATGCTTTTCCTGGTTCATGATCATCTCTCGCACCAGGGTCACGCTTCCAGGGTATCACCGTTCCTTATAAGTCAAGTACGAATACCTTCGTACCTACGGATGCATATACTCTCCGGACAGCACACAGAGATAGAGTGACAAAGCAGCAGTACCTCCCTACGGATAGTAGTGTGCAGAAAAACATTAGAGGGCATCAAGACAGGGGCATCAAGACAGGGGCAGGGGTTCAGGAATGGGCTTTCTCTCCAAACTCATACATACATACACAGGAGCCCAGCTAGAGCTATGTCCTACATATGATTCGCCAATCCACGCTTCGCTAGTAACGGTTCGGCTAGCTGACCTACGTCCGTACTACCACTACCCGCGCTGCTCTGTTGTCTTCGAACAGTTATTCGTACTCTGTAGAGGTAGATCCGTACCAGTCTTTGCACGCCTGCCACACGACACTAACGCGGCGTGTGATATGCTGCTTCTTGATACCGAGGAAGCAATAGCAGAGGAGTCGGCGCTGGCCTTCAAGTTGACTCTCTATTTCCGAACAGGCACTTGCCGATGAAGGCCCCCAACATTGCATCCCACCGTTGATGTGGGGAGGGGCTTTTTCAATTGACGTTGACAGCGGGGCAGAACAATGTGCAACTATGCCCGTTCCTTGTTTTCTCATATCCGGCGGCTTTTTCCTTTCTTTTTTAATCCTTCTCCCTGGCCCGTGTTTGGGTTATCAAGCCGCCCACAGTAGCAATGCCGTGTCGACAAATGACGATCAGAGCCCAGCCTGCTCTCTCAGACTAGGAGAAAAGGAGACCAGAACGAAATGGACAGAATGAAATGAGGCGGTGATAGAAACTCGGACCGGGATAGCAGTCCCATAGCCCTCCGCTCGGAGAGACCCGGCCATACTCAACCGCTGACTCGATAAATATTGATTAAATGTTACACACTCTGCCAGGTGCCTGGTCGGGACGTCGGAGGGATTGACGTGCCTCCGACACTGAGCTCCAGCCCCCAGTGTTGACCCCTGTTCCTGGAGGAGCGGGTAACCAACCTACAAAATATCGTACAGGGTCAGGCATCGATGCTGCACAATGTGCCAAGTTGCCAAGTACCCGATGTGATCATCCACGTCGCATTGTAGGCACAATCACTTCGTAGTGTATAGGTATGCCGCGTGAGGGTATTTGGAGATTGCTGAGACAAACCGTTCGAAAACATTGCAGAGCTGGAACGAGAGATCCTTGTCCACAAGATCCGGATACAACATCCGGCATTGAGTTTCGACGTTTGGATTTGCCCCAACTGTCTGTCAGCAGCTGCCTGTGGGACATCCGCCATCTGGATGTGTCGAGGTCCGAGGACTCAAAGTGTCGAATCGTGAGCATGGATGATAGACAACAGCCGCTGGTACCTGCGTGTGCATGGGTTCGCGCAGTGAGGGCCGGCCTGGTCGTCAAAACTGGCGGCAAATACTTGAAAGCCATGATTATGGACTGTTGCTGTTCAACCCGAAGTCCGAGGCAGATGAACCTTCAACCGCGTCAGTCCCGATATTTTCACCAGGCATCGACGATGCTGCGGGCTGATGCATAGTCTTTCGCCTCGCGAAATTGAATGCAGTCGAAGACGAGCTGCCGTAGCGAGAGAGAATCTTCCGTCATCAATCATTCGATTTGGAAAATCCAAAACCAACAGCAAGCCCTGGTTGACGAACGAGCTGCTAGCTTCTGCGTCGAGCTATCCACTTCTTCTGCCATGCCCATGTCCATGATACCGAGAGCAGGCATGGGGTCTGGGGATCTCGCAGGGGGGATCGGACAGCTCTTGTCTTGTTTGGGAAGAGCTTGCGAGAACGCGGCCCTTTATCCCAATTCGAAATGACAGCCGATGGAGATTGCAGGGCAGCCGAACCCGTTTCTTTCCCCAAGCTCTCATAACTGATGCTTGCTGTCTCCTGGTCAGGCCGCCCGTCATCCGTGTCAACGGGAGTGAAAAAGGCTAAAATGGCGTCCGTGTGGGTTGAGCGTCCGGGCAGAAGAGGCGCTATGCTCTGCTAGGCATAGCTTGATGTCTGACTTCAGTTGACAGCTGTGAAGACATCAGAACCCGGTTCACCAGTTGCGATCGACTGCTAGGGTCCCTGAGCGAGTGCAAGAGCCACAACTTGTCCGACCTATCTCTTCAGACTGTCCCTGCTCGGAATTGTCACGGCTGGTTCCTTCAGGGAAAACCCTAGGGTAATTGCACACATGCCTTGCTAAATCATATGCAGAGGGTTTGTCTTGTCAGAATGCCATGTACGTTCGTGACCATGGGCCCCTAAGTTCTCAACAAATAAGATTGTCTACAGAAGAATCTTCCTGCGCAAAACGATAGTTGCTCTGGCACACTTGAAAGCAAGGCAAATAATGTTGAACTAACTCGAGCCAGATGAGGAACAGATATCCTGAACGGGTCACAGTCGGAGGTTCGAGACATATGGACACGCGTGCGGAGTATCTTGAAATTAGCTGTAGACGTCTAGGTACCTTACTGACAGAGTATGCACCGTATATGTCGACTGACTCTTTCATCTTGTTTGCCCAAGGGACGCACGGATATTCTGTTCCCCTCTTCTTCACGGGATGAAGAAGTGGACTGTCTCTTGAAATATCGCAGGGTCCCTTGACGTCGGTTCGTGACGTGAACCGCATCTAGACAGGATGCCGAGGACGCGGTGCCAGCTCGCCGTGCCAGCTCGCGGGCAGCGGAGGGTTGGTGCGACAGACAAGAGAGATGTCGCAGCGGCGTATCCAGTATGGCCGACGGATGAAGACCCATGACGGGACAGGTTTATTACCAGTTTGCGGATCCCAACTGCCATGGTACGGCTGTCCGGGGGGGTGACAGACGTGGAAGTGTCCCTACACTAGGCACTAGACATGTGATATTGACAGGCCGGAGCATAATGGGATCTTTTTAAGATGCGAGGGCGAGGCAAGGTCGATATCAAAATGCGGTGATGGATAGTTGGCATCGAGAATCGACCATTGGGTGGGATGGGAATTTGCCAGCGACCAGGGTTTGCGAAGATGGCGACCCGCGGCGATTTCTCATACCCTTGGATGCCGGTTGACGTATCCCCTCAACCCTTGTGCCATTTTCCCTCGCGATTGAGTAGCCAGTGCTCTGTGCTTGTGCTGATGCCGTATTGCCATTCTGAGCTTGATAGGTACGGAAATGCAGAGACGGAGCAGTATCTTTGCTGCGAGTCAACCTGTGATGAGAGGATCGTCAGAGGAGTTCTCAGGTTACACATTAGACTGCGAGCTTCGACACTTTTTCGTGCCCAATTGCCTCATGGACTGCGCAGGTCTTCTGCGATCTGATTCTTGGTCTTTTTAAGCGCCTGCTTGGCTTCGTGCGCCATCAATCGCCCGCTCACGAGGTCTCAACATCGTACAGATAGTTCCTCTGAATTGGGCGAAACAGTTGCGCGGCCGACGTTTGAAAATACCTTGGTCCGTGAGGCGAGGTGAAGTACACTAGTATTGTCCGCGGGCCAGGAAAGGAGCCGGTGCAGCCATACCAGTGTCCACAATCCCTGGAGGTCCACTCTTTCCCTGCACCAATTCGACATCGAATTGGCCCGGAGGCCGAACCGTGCAGGACCGCACACCCCGGGGAGAGATGGCCCCTACATAATAAGGCAAGGCAAGGTAGGATTCCTTCTTTAGTCTTGAAGTAGGTACGTAGAGACGGCCATCTCTGGTATTGGATGATAATTCAATTTGCCTTGGGGTACCTACCTCAAGGTGCCATTGCCTTAGGTAGGTACAGATGTAAGTACGGATAGGCTACCAGACTTCACATCTCAGTCTGAGTACTCATACCTGGGACTGGCAGCAGGGCCATCTGCCTCTTATTGTCATCGACCGATCTGACAGCCCTTTCCCCCCTCACTCTTTCACTTAGCACACCGTGGCTCCTGCTGGATTTTCGATGTCGACGGAGGCTTGACATTTCCTCGATCAGTCACCCTCCTCAGGAAGCTGGCCCGTCCCAAAGCGTCATACTGCTTCCGAGTCTGCTAGCAAAACAAGACGGAACAACGAAAACACTGTGGCTTTGAAGGCCGCTCATTTGACGCCGTCCCGATGATGCTACCCTCCCGCACATGTGCCTGAAGTGGAAATCACAGATCTCTTTGGATCTGACAGTTCTCTGAATGTTTGCTCGCCCGCCTACCTTACCACCTTATGTAGCCGGATTTGTTGATTTTTCCAAGCTAGTCTCAAGGTTCATGGCATCCACGCATTGTTCAAAACCCTGGCACCTCTCATGTACTGGGTCATACACCGAATTGACGCGTCCTGTGAAACCATCGGCTGAATGTCGAATCACTGCTTGCACATAGTATCTTGGTTTCCCGGGAAGTCGAGGCCAATCAATACATAGGATAGTATCCAATACATAGGATAGTATCCAATACATAGGGTAGTATCCATACTGTATGAGTCTTGGGTCCCGATCGAGACAGTCCGGAACGGGGCGATTCAAGGTTGCTGATGCTCGCCGGCTCCTTTCAAGAGGGCTAGCGCACCGTTACAGGCGTTTCGGCCCAAATCGGCCCATGGCTTAGGTTTCTTCCCAGGTTCGGGCACTGCACAGTGCAGTGGCCCTCGCGGACGCGGAAGGTCAATGGAGGCCCACCGAAGCGGAAAGTTCTAATTAACAGGCTGGGCTAAGGCAACCAATTACCATGCAAATGCAATATCCCATTCCATCCGTTCTTTCCTAAAAGTTTCCTCTTTCCACGTCCAGCAAGAACAGGTGAGAAAACGCACGCGCCCCACCCGTCGGCCTCCATCTACCTATTGATTCACGCGCTGCTATTCTTACGTTGCATAAGCATCTCGACGTGTCTTGTCTCCCTTCTTGTCTCAAACCCCCGCTCACAATTGCACTTTTAGAGACGAGACTAAGAACACTGCCGTGGAGAGGAGTTGGTTGGCTTCCTCCAAAACTCGGACCGGGGTCGCCTTCGACGCGTTCTCCGATCCTGACCTCTATCAATAGTCAATTTTGTCATGGCCCCCACCTCACTACCAACTCCATATGACTTTCCGAGACTGAGAGTCTCGGTTCATCTCGAGGTACTTGCTTCCCCTCCTCTGAGCTAGCCGAACTGGGGTCAAGGACTCCTTATTGCTCTTAGTGTCTTCTCACTTGTCCTCTACCATTGGCGTATATATGAATTCCCATGAGAGTTGCACAGCTGCAATTGCTCTTCAGGGAATGCTTTTTCACGTGGTTCTTTGTCGCTCATTATAGCTTCGTCTGACATTGGCCACAGGATGACACCAGGTTCCTCGCTCAAGATGACCCAGTGCCTGGTAAGCCCCGCCCTAGCATCAACTCGAGGCACTGCTTTTGACCTTGGCTCATCTCGCCTCAGAATTTTTCGATGTCAAGTTCTGCCCCTACCAGCCGTTGGACGCGAGACCCGTCTTTGCCGCCGTCAGTAAGAAACACGTATGTTCCGCTTGCAGCTTACGGTGGGGTGGGAGCTTTCTTTGGAACCTAACGTCCTCTGCAGATAATAGTTTGCCGTCTCACGGCAGCTGCCGATGACTCGAATCCATGTGAAATTATCAGCATAATTCGGGATGACGATGTGCGTCCTCCCCAGTAGCCAAATTACCCACAACAGCCTCGGCAACTGACTCGAATAAAGACCGAGGCAAGAAATTACTCCTGCACTTGGACAAGGGACGCAGAGACCGGAAGGCCCTTGTTATGCTACGGCGGCGAGGATGCCAAGATCAAGGTTTACGACATTATCGAGCAGAAGCTCGTCGACGTGAGTTGAGACACTTCGAATGAACTCTACAAACGTTTTGCTCACATTTCACTCAAGTGTCTCGTTGGCCACGGCGGAGTGAGCCATGCCCGTAGTCTCACTTATCATAGGCTCTTGCTGATGAACCTTCAGGACGTTTGTGACGTGGTGACTTCTCCAATAGACCCCCTAATTATCGCCTCGTGTTCCGATGACACGACAGTCCGAATATGGAGTCTAGACCCAAAACATGAGAAGCAGCCTTGCCTGTGTATTCTTGGAGGCGAGGGCCACTACTGGAACTTGCTTACACTGGTACGAGCAGTGCTGTTGCTGCTTTCCAGACGGAAACTCGCGGCTGACTCTTTTTCACCAGGCGTGGCACGACACGGGCCGATACATACTTTCTGCCGGTCACGACCAGATAATTAACCTCGTGAGCAACGTTTCCATACACTATGCCGGCTTGTATGGTTAACAGACCCAACAGTGGACAGTACCAGACCTGCCGATCGAGCACACCGACCGCCCAGTGGAGGTTCACTATCCTCACTTTTCAACATCAGAGGTTCACAGCAGCCTTGTGGATTGGTCAGTCTTGGCTCGAAGAGCTTCATACCTGCACACTATTGATATCCCTTAGTGTATCCTTCTTTGGCGACTTTATCCTGTCTCGAGCCTGTCACGACGATGTGATCGTCTTGTGGAAGATAGAAGGCTTCTCCTCCCAGGACCCGCCCCCTCCGCAGTCCATGGCCCCAACTACCATCAACCCGGCCAATCTCACCCGATCTGCCTTCAGCCCGGGCGTTTCGGCAGAATGTCCAGCTCCCTACACCCGGCTCATCGAGTTCCAGACGCTCGGTTGCGGCCCGCAATTCTTTATGCGATTCAAGCTGCACTTCGTACCTGACCAGCACCCCATTCTGGCCTTCTGCAACGCCAACGGCAAGATCTATTTTTGGGACTTTGAGCAAATAACAGGCTTCCATGATTATGTCAACGCCGTCAAGAGACCCAGGAGAGACGGGGAGGAAGTCTTGCCAAAGCCCACGTGGTTGCCGGCCATCACCCATCGTGCCAACACCAACGGCAAGGCGGCACCGACGGTCCGAGAGAAGAAGGCGGCCGACAAGGCTCACCGGACGGAGCTTGAGCAGATTCCCGAGTTGAGGACCCAGTACAACCAGGAAACGCTGCAAACATGGGATGGCAAGTTTACCGTCGGCAATCCTCAGGTGCCTCTGAAACCCCATAAGATAGAAAATTGCGGCGCGTCGACTTTCGTGGGTAGACAGGTCGCTTGGAGCCCCGGAGGTGAATGGTGCGTTGTTGTGGGCAGCTCCAACTTCGCCCTAGTTTTTCAGAGATGGGTACCCAGGAAGGATGCGTGAATGTATGGGTAGGAAAGGGGGTCGGAGGGCAACGCTGAGTGGAGAGGCCCTCAGCCCGTACCAATTCTTCAGTCAGAATAATATCGGCCAGCGCTTCTAGCTAGCTGTGCGATACTCTCTGATGGGAAGTGATGAAAAGACTGGCAAGACAGGACCGTCATCCTCCTCAACGGGAGCCATCAGCCTCTGAATCAACACGTCAAGTTGTCCACCGTGCTCAGCCATCTTCTGAAAGCTGCTTCGTGCATTGTTCCTTTCTGCCTCGCGCCGTAACCTGGCTTCCACCATCTGTCCCTCATCGTGTGAATAAGCCGGGATGAGCAAGTCCCCGATATACAGCGACACCATCCCGCGCACCCGCCACAGCTCATGGCTATGCGAGAAGGGCCGATCCTCGAGCAAATCGTTCATGCGGCTCGCCACCTCGCGTAGCATGTCGAGCGTCTTGAGCCGGATCTGGTCCCTCGCCTGCCGCAGCCGCGTATCTCTCCCATTAACCTGCCAAACAGGCGCCTCGGACCGAAAGTCGGAGCCGTCCATCGTGCTGTCGCCGCCGCCGCCGCCGCCGCCGCCTAGAGAGGAGGGCTCCTGCCACGATTCATCCTCCCAGTCCTCGGCCTCGCGGTGCATTCGCCGTAGGAGAGCCGCGTGCTGCGTGTGGACCTGGAAGATCTCGTAGCTCAGCAGCGCGGGCCAAAAGTCGACGGCGGAGACGGCGTGACGGTGCTTAAAGTTGTACGGGTACCGCTGGATGAGGTCCTGGAAGTACTCGCGCACACGGGGGACGTTGGCCACGGGGTAGGCCTCGTCGTCCGTGGCCGTGGCGTGGGCGCTGCCGTTCTCGCGCATGAGGATCTCGGCGCCGAGGGCCCAGTAGTTGTTGCGTCTGATATCGACCGGTTTTCCGTGGACGTGGGACCTCGCGAGAACCCCGAAGGCGCGTTTTGCGTTGACGACGTCGCCCTTGTCGAGGAAGCCGTAGATGGCGCGGACTAGGGGCCGGAAGGGCGACTTCTCGGAGGCGTACTTGGCCTTCAGACTGCCGTCCTTTTTCTTCCGCCGCTGCTTCCCCGCATCGTCGTCATCGTCTAAATTTTCGTCATTGTCTTCGTCTTCTACCTCGCTGGGCTCGAGCGCTTTGGTCAAAGACGCCGCCGCGCCGGACGTTCCCAGCCGGGCTGGCGCGTCTGGGTCTTGCCATGCGCGGTGCGGGAAGCGGTGCTGTGTCCTTGAGGGCAACTGGTCCGTCTCTGCGAGGCCGGCGAGATGGAGCTGACGAAGAACTGAAGGAGTGTGGCTGAGGGGGTTGATGGAAGAGCTGGGGAGCTGGGAGTGGTATTGGTACTCCTGGCTGTCGGCCATCGACATGGCCGAAGCGGACCTCTTGCGATTGGTGACTGGCTGGCTCATCGTTGCTTCCGCTTCGTGTGCGAGCACATTTCCCGGGACTTTGGCGATGCTGATGAAATTTTCTACCCTACTAGGTTTTGATTGATTGATATTGTTATCGAAATTCCGTGTCTCGTGGTGCACTTGAGTGAGGTCAATGTAATGGTGTAATATGAGTTTGCGGTGAGAATTTGGTCAATAGTGAAGTGGGGGCGACTGGCTTCATTTACACCGCGTGTTCACCACCAAGGCACCGGGTTATACGGATAAAGCTAAAAACAACTTGCTCGCACTGGTACCAGCACCGGCATTCATGAGTGAATTTTGAGTTTTGGTTCAGGTCAAGCACCCGTCAATTGTCAATGCCTAGACAACTAGATTAGGGATCCAAGGTAGCCTTGTTTTCGTCTTGCCCAGTCTACGAAGCGTCGCAAAGTGCCTGGTTCAGATACAATCCAACCGGTATTCTTCCCAGAGATCGTGGACTTGTTCGTAATGTTGTCATCATGATAGTCCCGCGTAGCTGCTAGTCCCTATCGATCAGAGCTTTTCCCGCTTCAAGGTACTGCGCACTGCAAGGTCTACTTGACGTTGAATAAAGTGAGTGAAATCTTGATTTGCCCGTCATTATGTCTCGAGACTCAGTGGCACGTAGCGTGCATGGTGTCGGAAACTCCTTGCAATGAATCTATAGTCTGGCGTAGAACGTAGGCAAAGAAGCAGTTTCACGATAGCGGCCGCCTTCGTATGCGCAACAACCCATGGGGGAAAAGCAACATCTCGATGTATATTGGTCATCACAGTCGCCTAATGTACATGATCTAAGACTTGCAGATGTCCTCTACAGCAAGCATCCTCAGGTTAAGCAGATTTGCGCTCAAAGTAGGTCCATTGGCCCTCCACAGGCTTCTCCTCAAGGTCCTCCCACCTAGTCATGACTGTTAGTACGGGTGCCACAAACCCCCCAAACGTAGGTCGGGAGACAGCGATGAAAGGGAAGAGAGAAACGTACACCTTGGCCTGTGTCATCACATCAACAAGCTTCAGCTCGCTCTCGGCAACCTGGATGACCTCCTCGATGAGGCCAGCCCCGATCTTGGTCTCCAACTCAGAAACCCTAGATATCGCAGAACCAGTTAGCGTAAGCTCTTGCCAGCGACCATCTCAATGGCCTGCCTAGAAACACGTACTGGTCGGCCGTTAATTGCGGCTCCGCCTCCCACTGCACCTTGGCGGTATCATTCAGGTCCTTGCGGTCGGCAAGCAGCTGGTGGTCCTTCCGCTCCGCCTCGGAACGGGGGCCCTCCAGGGTGCCGCCCTCGTCCTTCTCTCCATCCCATTCCTCTTCGCGGACATCCTGCTCCTCGTGCTGGGTCGCGACGACAAACGTCCTGCCGCCGAGTTTCACCGTCCGGGCACCGCTGCCGTCGACGCGACCGCTGACGAGGCGGAATTGTTCGGGCTTCTCCTTAACAATCTGCTCGGCCCTCTTCTCCCACTCGGGGTATCCGGGCGGTACTGTCGCTTCGACAAGACCGAGACGGTGCTTCGTGGTGGCTTCGACCGATTGGCGGTAGAGGGAGGACTCGGGGACAGCCTTGAGCTTCTCGAGGGTAGTGCCGTACAGGTAGAGCAGTGTCGATCGCGGGCTGTTGTGCGTCCAGAGGCCAGTGAGGCCTGTCGGGGTGCCGGCTTCTAGATAGCGAGCAGGCTTGACGCCCGCGAGCAAGCGAAATGTCCTCCGCATGGTTGCGATATCAATTCGCTCGAATTAGTGATCGCGGTGTTTGGTGAAATGAGCTCCGGAGCGTAAGAACGGAAGCTGTTCTAGCGATGCAGTGTCGCTTGGACTTCATTGACCAGTAGATTCCCTTACATAAGTCAGCACCTACTGGTCACGTGACTCAAAATTATGATTCACAGGCGCTCGGAGTATGGCACGTGAACATCATTGTCGTCGCCTATAAACAACATCTCAGTTGACTGCGGCATTCCAAAGAGCTGAAGAAACAGCATTCGGTGCTTCACGTAATACTTGGGTGCCGGATCTGATGGCATTTGGTACTTATACACTGCCATTGAGATGACGCTCCACTGGAGATGCACTACAGATATCGTGACCAATGAGAAGCTCTTTCCACACATAGGGACGCAGGCAGGCAGGCAGGCAGGCAGACTAGTACTGGAGTGACGAAGTAGACAAGCTATTGGAATTCAGTACCGATGTGAAAGTAATCAGTCGCAAAATTCTGGTGGTTGTTCGGAATTCGCCAAACGTGAAAACAAGTCTATATGCAGAAGTCGTAAAATCAACCTTGAACGGACGCGATCAAGACGCTTTCAACCCCCACCTCGAAAGGCGTCAGGCGTCGATGGTGAATCAAAGTACTCCTGGCAGCCACACAGGGCTAAAATAGAAACACGCCGTCCCACGACGATGCATGGTGTGCAACACAGGCGACCCCAGCCATATTGGCTGCAACATAAGAAATCGGGCTTTCCCCGACCTCCGAGGCACACTAGCCAAACCGCCATACTCTGGCAGTCCGAGAGGCATCAACCAAATTCAGACGTGATGAAGCTGCCAACACTGCAGCAGCGGTGGCAGTCATGAAAAAAGGCGCTCACTTCCATCATTTTAAGAAGCGTTCTCGCGGCTCTTGCGGTAGCTGGCCTACAGCGAAAGGGCGTCAGCACGGGTGGGTCCTCGTTATACTTCGTAGGTCGAGGCGCGACTAACCTCCTGCTCAACCTGCAGGCCATCAACAACAGGGGCAAGTTCGCTCAAGATCTCGTAGGCTTTCTTGTGGTACTCGATCTGAGCAGCAATCAGGTCGGCAAGGTTGCGGAGAGGCTCAGGGGTGTCAAGAACCTGTCAAGAAAGTTAGCAACCACTGTCGTATTGGCAAATAGTCAGGTCTACGGACGTTCTTCATGACACCAACGGCCTCCTCAGTTTGTGTGACGAAGTCATCCTCGGCCTTTTCGATCTCCTCCTGGGCTTCAGGGCTCAACTCCTGAGGCTGGGGGTCATCGGGACGCGGGGAACCGGGGCCGATCTTCCAGGTAGTGCCGTGGGCGCGGGCCTTGGCGGCATCGAGAGTCAAGCGCGACTTCTCGACATTCTGCCGGGCTCGGGTAGCAAACTTGAGGTTGGTGTTCAAGGTAGTGTTCCAGCCGGCAAGGAAGCGGCTCTGGATCTGAGCGTCCTGGGCCATGCGGGACTCGCCAACTCGTTCCATAGCCAGGGCATACTTTTCAAGAGCCGTAGCCAAGGGGTCCTCGCCGGTGCCGGTATGCTGCTGGTGAAGCACCTGGCTGCTTGACAGACTGGCGCGGGCGATGGCATGGTTGAATGTCTTGGGTTGGGGCTTCGCCGAAGGGGGAGCGGTCAGGGCTGCCTGGGCCTCGGCCGGAGAACCAGCGGACGAAAGGAGAGTGACCTTCTCGCTGACGGTGCGACCAAGATCCTGGAAAGTCTCCTTGATATTGGGTGGGTAGTCGTAGGCCTCGTTCGAGTATTGCGAGCTTCAGTCATCGGTGTTAGTGGTCAGTTTTCGACTCGTGGAGTCTCGCTGAAAAGAACTCACGTCACAGCCAGCATCTTCTGATGGACTTGCTTGAGGGCATCGACACGCTTCTCGAGATCAATGTAGTCGGGCGGGAGCTGGGTCTGTGGGACGCGAGGAGGTTAGCTCTTTCTTGATGAAGCAACTAATCGGATCGGCGCAAAGAAGTGAACGTACCTTGTCCTCGGCCTGACCAAGCTGCTCCTTGGTATACTGGAAAGTACGGGAGGCAAAAGGGGTGATCGAGGACCCGAAGGAGCTGCATAGAGGGGAGTTCGTCAGCCTGGAAATAGCACTCGCAACCGCCGACGTGAAGGGCATGCGACAACGCACGTGAAGCTCTTGCCGATATTCTTGAAGTCCATCTTGGCAGTGGTTTGATGGCACAAAGCAGGGTGGAAAAAGAAAGACACTCGGTCGCTGCGGAAAGTCGGCACTGATGATGGTGCCTGTTGGACGAGTTGAGGTGGGTTGTAAATGCGGGAGTTCTGCCTCGTGCCTGCGACCAGCTGAAGCAAGATAGACAGGTATCCAGTACGTTAAATTGGCTGCGCAGCAACCTCCAGCATGCTGTCACAAGCTACCCAGGGGTAGCTGGCCAAGTGGACCACCGCATCAGTCAAGCAGGGAAGGGAATGGGTGCTCAGTGCACGTGATTTGAGGGACATTCTTCGGTACGTACTGCCTTGCAGGCACCTGTGGATGGCACTGTGTCCTCGCAGCTTTTCGATGCATCCCTTATTCGGAAATACTGAGGAACAGTTCGTCATGTAGGTTCTGGCTGGGTTTGAGGTCCTAGGCAGGCAGGGACAACTACAGCCCTTGTAAATACCCTTAGTCGTACCTTCACGTCTAAGGTTTCAACTGAACGACCACCTACTTAGTCTCACAAATAGTGGCGACCAGATATTCATTATGGCCCAGCTAAGACTGTTCATGTGCGTGCGGCAAGCACAGAGTCAAGGTTAATTTCGGTTTTGATTCTTTCTTTATGATGCCTTTTGCTTCCTGTCCAAACTCCAACCTCAATACCGACGCTGCTACAGAGAGCTTCTTCTCGTAGCCACCACCGAATGTTTTAGTCGGGCGGCTTAGTGTCTGCCCATGATGGTTCGATATGGCGACATACACTCTCATAATCTAAAAGCTTCGGGTCGCTCAGTGGAAGATGTGCCGTAGTCCAGAACATGGTCCAGTTAGTGTCCTTGAGTTTCCATGTACCCAAGGATCTCTCGAAATACCACTTATTGACGGGGTTGTCTTGTCGGCTGCGCCAGCAGACGCCTTCCGGGAAGCAGCCTCTGACCATGGCGTTGAAGACCACGTCAGCGACTCCGCCGCTTCCTTGGCGACTTTTGAGAACCGCAAACTTATCCAAGTACGGAACCAGTCGTCCTGTCTTATACGCAGTCTCCTCATCCAACCCGAACGGCTTCTCCCATGTCAGGATCGCTCCGCCTTCGTACTCCCCTGCAATGATGATGCCGGCCAGGTTATCATTGACGCGCTCTAGATAGTGCTCAACGTCCAATTCCCGATTGAAGGAGTCGTTGATAAGATTGACCAGTCGTGGCATGTCTATACAGGTGTCTGTGAGCCTCAAGCGCGGGCCGCCTGGCCGAGGAGGAACCCAGGCACTGATTGTGGGATCGGGATAAACCGTAAGCGGCATGCCGCGTTTGACTAAAGTTGCCAAATGGGTCTCGCCGGACATCATGTCGCTCTTTTTTCCGGAGCGGACCCGATCGAGCGGTAGCGATGACGAAAAGACGGGCTTGTCCGTCAGGAGGTTATGAATCAAGGGGTTTTGCCGGTTACGTGTCGTGACACTGGTGAACTGCTGGATCGGCTTGTTTGCTGCAGCAGACGGGGTGCTGATGATGGCAGAAGAAGTTGAGGGCAACATTGCAAGCACCTTCTTCGAAAGGTCGAGGTTCCGGGCGTGGAGCTGCCGCACATTCTCGGGGTATTTACCTCGCCGTGCTTCCGATCCTGAAGGGTGTGTAAGGCCATACATGATGCCCTCAAATTCTTGGTCGAGGTTGATGTATCGATGACACGAGCCATCATGCGCATCAGACAGAGGTGTACCTCCAGCCGGGTCCAGAATGATGACCTTTTCGACTGAAGCAACCTTGGCACCAGGGCTGGAACTGGAGTCAGGCGCTCCAATGGGGCTGTCAGAGGCGCTGAACTGAAGACCGCAGAAAAATTTGGTGAGCGCAATGATAGTTTCGTCGGCGTCCACCACGTCAATGCTCTTCATGTTATGTGCCATGATGACTGGTGGCACGACAACAATGGCATTGTCTCGCAGAGCTCGTAGTAGAAGGTGCGGGTGCTGGACATAAACACCCGATGGCATGAAGCCCTTTGTTTGCGCCGTCTGCGATTCGGCCCCGGCAATGCACTGGTCAAGCAGGATGCTACCCTGCTCGCCAAATGTCTCAATGGCTTGCTGGACTCGCCATGATTGCTCTCGGAGAAGCTTTCGGGACGACGCTCGCCCTTCATCCAGGACAATAAGGCTAACGAGACCTAACTTTCTTAGTTGGGTCAAGGTTTTAGCGATAGCACTCAGCATTTCGTCGTCAACATCCTGAGGAAGCCGTATCTTGACAATTGCCAAGTTAATGGGTTCATCTACTGGAATAGCGGTTTCGGCCTTGAACTCCGTGCCCTGAATGAACTTCGGTGCCTGGTTGATTACTCGAACGGACGAATAGGTTTGGTCAGGCGCCTCTTGCGTCTCTGAAACTTTGCGCCTATTGGAACCATCCTCGCCAGACTGAGGAGCGTATTTTTGAAGATAGCCTTTGGCGTCACGACGAGTAGCCGAGGCCTCTAAGACAGACACAATGAAGTCCTGCAGCTCATGTCAGATAGTGGAAGAGGAAAGGCGGCGGCGAGTCAATAAGTACTCTGTCTTCTGCCCGTTGCCTCTCGCGGGCCTGATTGCTGGATGAATGGCGGACGGCGGAGAGGGCAGTTTGCAAGGCCTCTTCTTGGCGCGTGCCTCCTAACCGCGGGCGGTGATAAAGTCTACAATTGGGCGGACTGTAAGAGTCGAGAGCGAATGGTGCCTAGTGCGGAATTTGTGAGGCCTGATTACAATGACTCTAAGAGATTGTGAAAATAGGAGTTTGAACGCATACCCTTGCAACCAGGTTGCTTGCTTGCTTCAACACTGGAGACCGCATCTTACCGATAACGGCGAGAAAGGCAGGGCATGCCGGGGATGTGCTGGTCGGCCTGTGGTGGCAATATGAGGACAGAATAGAAGGTGAGGCGGTCGGACTACTAAGAACGTGAGTCCTGGCAGACTCAATTCTTTTGTTCCTTCGTAGAGAGTAATAAGCACAAAAAGGAAGTTATAATAAGGTGGGCGAAGGCGTGGAAAGAAGCTGCACTCGGCGCTCGAGTCTGTAGCCGAATAGAGGCAGCGTCTTGGGAGGGGCAAAGGTCAAAGCAGAATCATCCCTTCAGACGGCCATTACGAAGACGGCCAGATTACCTCTGGATCTGTTTGAGCAATGAACCGCCACTGACTAAGTGAAGTTGCAGAGTCAAAGTCGGGAAGAGTTTAAGCGTCGGTGACGACCTGAAGGGAAAGAGACCTGGGCTTAGGCCGGGAGAGCACGAACTGCAGCCCGCCCTGTTCCTCCGACCGAGAATTTCCACTTTGTGAGTCAAGGCGACCTACCAAAGGGCGTACTGATAAGACGATAAGATCAGAGAGGTCTCCATCATGGGGACCGCCATCGGCGACCGTCAAGTATTACCGTACCACCGAGGCGAGCTGTCGGACAAGGAGACGAGGTAAGAGTAGACATATCACCAACCAGAAAAAAAGAAAAGAAAGGCCTCATCAGTTAGTGCGGTTCATCTTCCACCACACTACTTGCGATGCATTCGCATGCGTGTAAAAAACCGACTCAACATGAGAGGAGGAGTGCTCTACCTTATGAGCGGTTGCTTCGTGCGACTAATACTGACTGGGCATCGCTCAACCATGGTATTATAGATGGAGTCTCGCTCCTTGGCATCCCAAAGAACAGCTGCAAAAGCGGGAACTGCCGTAGACGCACCTTACCTGTTGCCTTTCTGAGCTCAATTGGCGCGAAGGCGAATTCTGAATAAGTCGTAAAACGTACGAATACTACCTTACACTACGAATAGTGAAGCAAAAGACACAAACCCAGGGGATTGATCACCCAGCTCCAACTAGGTGCCGTTGACATTGTCGTCCCATTTACCTATCGACTAGGTAGGTAGGTAGGCAGGCTTCTTCTCAGCTCCCAACCGCTGTTTTTTTTATGCCACAGTCGGATGATTCGCCCGTCACTAATCAAAGTACCCAAAGTACCGCTGTTGTCTCTGAGGTCAATGGAAGCAACCCCGCTCTGGCATAGCCGTTGTCGTCACCTCGCCCTTTAAACTCATCTGAGCGAGACCCTGAGGTGCTTTTCGGGCATGTTAGTGCCGCCGCTTATAAGTCACCAACCCCACCGAACATCCCCTCGGGTTTCATTTTCAACACTTGGGTACTTATCTATCAGCTTCACAAGCTTTTCTCGAAATCAATCTGCATTTGCATTCGTTCGCTTTATCGAGCTCATTTACCGTTGCCAACAAATTATTTACAATGACCCAAACACTTCTCTGGATCGGCCTCGGCAATATCGGCAGGGTGAGTCTCCTCCGAGTTCTGAGTTGGAAGACCGGCTCCGATCAAGGTATGCAAGCTCACCTGCTCAGGGTATGTGTAAAAACATTGCGGAAAAGTCCAAACTTGACAAGCCGCTTCTCATCTACAACCGCACCACCAAGCGGGCCACGGAACTGAGCCAGAGCCTGCCCGCTGGCAAGACAAAGGTTGTCGAGTCACTCGGAGACGCCATTGCCGAGGCCGACATCATCTTCACGTGCGTTGCCAACGATCAAGCGGTGGAGGAGATATTCGCAACCGCAGCGCAGCAGAAACTTGAGGGGAAAGTCTTTGTGGAATGCTCAACCATTGCTCCCGGTGCTTCAGAAGCAGCTGCAAAGGCGGTGCTGGACAAGGGCGCGGAGTTCATCTGTGCGCCTGTGTTTGGAGCACCTGCCATGGTAGCTGCTGGCAATGCGACCTTGGTGCTTGCCGGGCCCAAGGCTTCGATTGAGAAGATCCGTCCCTATATTGATGCCATGGCAGCTCGCGAGATCAATATGGCCGATGAGCCGTACCGCAAGGCTTCGACGCTGAAGGTGCTGGGCAACACCGTCATTTTGGGTATGGTCGAGCAGCTGGCCGAGACATATGTGGCCGCCGAGAAGAGCGGACTCGGGACTGGCTATATGAAGCAATTCGTCGACGCCATGTTCGGTGGCAGCCCATACCCCGCGTACTCGGAGCGGATGTTGAAAGGTGACTATTACAAGAGGGAGGAGCCGCTCTTCGCCGTTGATCTGGCGAGAAAAGACGCTGGTCACGCGATGGCTATTGCCCAAGCTGCAGGCACACGACTGCCGAATATCGAAAATGCCGATAGACACCTACAGATTGTCAAAGAGCACGTAGGGCCGTCTGGCGACATGGCAGGCATATATGGAGCCGTAAGAAAGGAAGCTGGTCTAAAGTACGAGAACGACTCTTAAGCAAGGGCCTCGAAATATGCTAGGACCAAATGTCAGACGTCGCCAGGTTGTAGATTATTCCAGACCATGGCGAGAAAATTCTAAAACCCATGAAGCATTGTTAACAGATTAAATTTGATTTAGTGACATAGCCTCAACTGGGTACGCATTGCAGCTACACGAAGTATCATAGGTAGCGTCAATAACTTGAGCGGAGGATCAGGTGGTAAGTCATGACTAAGCAGCGACCATCGAGGAGCTGCCGGCTGGTGCACTGCGCCGACAGCTGCACCCACAACTGACGTCCAGGCTCTCTTACCTACCTAGCTCAGCCTTCTCGACGAGACAGAAGCAATCGACGAAGCAGCACGACAGCACCAACGCGAAACCCGGCATACCTGTACATTCCCATACCTCACCTTCTTCCAAATAGAGTTGCAAAATGGCGCAAGGGTTCGTTTCCATAAAAACGTATGCCCCGACAACCGAAGTGTTGACACAAAAACCATAGGTATAGCATCTTCGTCGGCCTCGTCATCGTCGTCGCGATGGGCGCTGGCGCATGGTTCCTGTCTCCCAAGGGCGACACCCAGATGTATGTCACCCTTACTTAAAGAAAATACTGCGATGGATGATTCCATCATGTCGTCCTTGCGACACAGCTGACATCTTCAACAGCATCTGGAGGTCCTCCCTCCTCCTTGCCCTCGCATGCTGCTACCTCATGTGGGCCATCACGTTCCTCGCCCAACTCCACCCTTTGATCGAACCCAAACGCAGCAACCTCCGAGAGAGTGCCGTGCACCATTAACGACGTCTTTGAGGTGATGACGGATGGCGGGAGAGGAAACGCGATGGGCTACCGATGTACTATTATCGATTTTACACAACTGCAACTTCATAAGGACGGCGTTAAGGGGTTTGCTGAGGTTTTGCCAAAGAACGGCGTGTGAATGGTTGTTGGCAACCGTCGCCTCGCAAACATAGCTCAAGTGCCGATGGATGATGTCAGTCCGCTGGCTATGAGGATTGCGGCCGGACTAGGTATACACCTGAAATGGCGAGACGGCTAGCTATGCAACATCAATTCACGCAATACCGAGTGGTACATGTTACATATTCATCTCGTTTGTCTGGCTTTTGCAGCTACATACTGCCCATTATCCTGCGGCTAGATCACTGGCCCATTCCCTAACGTACATCAACAGAGCCCAAAGGGCTTTGCCATCTGCGGCAATGCTGGTTTCTCCAATGGAATCAACGCCGTCTAGCCCGGCAGCCCAGAGAATGCTGCGTCCTACGGTCCACCGGGCCAGAGCTCCCATCGTAGCTAGGAAGGTGGCAACTCCGTAGCCGCAATCCAGCAGGATACGGAGGGCTTCGACGTTGTTTGCTACGACAGCCCACCCCAGCGATCGAGCCGCAGCTGGGACATCGTACTGCCATATGACCATGAGGATCGGGAATAGCTTAGTCGAAGACGAGACAAGGAGTGCGGTCGAGACTGAATTTGGACGCGAGTATCGGGGTAAAATGTTGAAAAAGTTCAGCGGAGACAACTTGGACGAGGTCATGAAGCGAATGCTCATATGGAAGGCAAGTGTCGACAAAGCGCAAAGGATTACTGTCGGAGCATTAGTTCTTCGTCCGAGATGCCCCCTTATGTCTCTTCAAAATACGTACGGAAGAAGAAATATTGGGACACAATAGACTGCTGTGCCAAGCTGCCCAGGTTGGCACCCTCGCCCCGGGCAGAGATGGGCACCGTCTGCTTCTCAATGCGCGCCCATGTCAAGTACACGTCGAATAGCAACAATAGGATGCCGAGTCGTACAATGGATGACTACGCATAAAATACCATCAGCGAAGGTCCAGTGAGCAAAGAGGTGGTGCGCGTTTCCATGACTTACGTCAAAACGGTCGTCGTCCTTCATTAAGGTATTGTGCAACAGGTGACGATAGACCTGGGGTTTGATCAGGACGAGATCGATGAACAGCACTACGAAATCGTGCTCGACATATTTGTCGCAAAAGTGACCGCAATTCCTGCATACGGTCAGACGAATGTTGTGGCCACTCGACTTGTCGTCAGCGTTGGAATATTTGGTCCATAGTGTCTTGACCGGATGGCGGCACTCGATACAAATCGGCATCGGAAACTAGGGTCAGGGTCGAAAGACGTCGCAAAGTGATTGATCGTTTGGCATGTGTAATTACGGGACCGATCGTTATTTGCGGCTGAATCTTCTTCGAAGGCGTGCAACTCTGATGAACGGCGATTGCAACGCGTGGCATCGTTGTGACCGTCTGCACTGGAGCTTTCTGCGCTGCGCCAGAATCTGGATTCTAGCTTCGTACTTGGAGTCCTTGGACATGGGGGGAAACGGTACCTGTCGCGACCGCAAGCTTGAGCAAAGTGGTTATTGAGTGGGGCCGCTGGGTGCCGGGCGGAGATTCGAGTCGGATTAGTGGGGTCACTCAGCACGGTTCATGTCCACACCTGCCGGAGGGGCAAGAGGGCCGAATACTGGTAGAACGTGACTCTCCCTCGGGTCTCTCCAACAGGTCTGAAAGTCATGTCCCCTTCCCCATTGCCCATCCCAACCTCGCTGGGAACTCAAGTCCGTAGGCCGCTAACTCGGGTCCTCAAACAACACCTGTTCTGTCTCCACTATAAGGACCGCTAATCATTTCAGTACGATAGGGGAGCCATAAGAAGTCCTCGGTACCTTACCTACCTTACCTTGAGGTACTCCGTACCTTCCAGAGCGTTGAAGTCCCTTGGCTTGAGTTGCCTTTGGCCAAGGGTCCCTTCAAGTCCTTGGCAAATTCCGACCCACATACGTCGACGGGCCCCAATGCAACCCGCCGCCTCAAGTAATGGGAGGACACTTAACCCAGTGGAGAGGTGCCCAAATCGCGTACGCTCCCGCTGCCACACCCACGGTCGCCATCCTGCCTGCCACAGCTTCCCGCTGCTGCTTGTCACTGCTTGCTTGCTGCTGCTGCATACGCTAAAGAAAAGGTACACCACCACGGTTCCAATTGTCCATTCATTCGGCCATCTTACATCACCCCCATCCATTCATTCCTCTCTCGACCACCGAGGACTACACTTGCTCCTCCCTTGGCCTCAGCTGCCCATTCTTCGAGAAACCCGCGAGAGCGACACTCTGACATCCCCTGTGAACCTAATCCGCCTTGACCGAAACGCATACTTTATCGCCCGCTCTCTCGATCTCCCTACCGCTCTCAATCCTCTGTGCTTCCTATTCCTAATCCGAAGTCGCCCACGGCGCCGCCGACGCCGACCCTGATCGTCTACTACCTTACTTCAAGCGACCGAACGCTGTCGATGATAGAAGCCACGCGCTGATGCCCTCCCTTTCAAGTGCCTACCACCTAAGCGACAAGGTGGGCGGCCTTGCTCTATCATGGCAGATTCCCTAAACCCGGCTGGGTCGACATCACACATGTCTTCTTCGGCCCTCATGCCAGCACGTCATGATGCCGAAGCCCGCCCACGCAACCGACGCCTCATCAGCACTGTTGAGGATTCTTCCACGGCCGGAGGGCCTTTGGATAGGCTTTCGGCTTCATTCTCCGCCTTGCGTTTACCAAGCCGCGAGCCAAGCCCCATGCCTTCCGGCCACTTATCCCGTGATACCTCCAAATCTGGTGCTCGAACTGCATCTGTTGCCAACCGTCGAAACAATACCGCACCCAACTCGGCCAGTTTCCTCGATACCACATGGTCGCAAGGCTGGGCTTCCATCCAGGGGCTGGCTTCATCCCTCCTGTCTGGCGGAAGTGTCCACGACGCGGGATACGAGTCAGATCACAGGGAAGGGAGACGGACGAACATCAATCCTTTGAAAAGGGATTACTCTACCCCGCCACGGAAGGCTCCCAAAGACTGGGGTCCTGCACCGCCGTCCAGTACTAGGCCTGCTCACCAGGACATTGCGGCAGGCTCTCTTGCGGAAAGAGATGCTGCCCTCAAGGCAGCCCGGACAGCGAGCGTTTTGGAAAGTCATGACGGAGTTAACGGGGGTCTCGATGTGTTTGGCAAGTATAAGAAGAGAAACTCGGACGAGATCACCAGGGACACTCCACAAGAGGAAGAGATCCAAGACCAACTGGTGTATATACACCATGTGCAACCAACTGACACCTATGCCGGCATAGTGCTCAAGTACAGGTGCCGTGAAGACGCATTCAGGAAGGCGAACGGCCTGTGGTCTAGAGACATACTGGTGCGCAAGTGGCTTGCCATACCAGTAGATGCATGCGAAGTCAAGGGTCGCCCTTGCGAACCGCCTTCGCACGAGGGGCAAAATGTCGACTTGCTCGCTCCAACACCGGAACCTCGAAGCGCTCATGGATGGGGCAAAGCGAGCCCGACGCAGCCGCAGCCGCAGCCGCAGCCAGTCGACTTTTTCAGTCTGCCGGTCCTCAATGGCTCAGCGTCTCGACTCTCCAACAACGAAAACCACGAAGATCCTCCCTGGTCTCACGTTCGATGGGTCACACTGGACTCTGTTCCTAAACCAGTTGAGATTGCCCGCGTGTCGAGCAAAACGATTGGGTACTTCCCGCCACGAAGGAAGAAGAGCCTCCGAAGCACCTCGAGTATATCCACGCCGAGACACTCTCTCGATGCTGCAGCAATAACAGCTGGACTCACAGAAAGTCCTGAACAAGTCGGCAGGCCATCATCGCGACGCCAAAGCAATTTGAGCAGTAGGCCCAACTTGCCCGGCACGCCGGGGCGATCCACTCCGGCGTCCTCGAGGAGCAGGATGGGCAGTGATGCGGGTGATACGCGGCCAGCATGGATGAGGAGGCCCGGTGGTGTAGGCTCTTTGGGGCGAAGTGTACGAGCACCTGGTCCGGAGAAAGATTACCTGAACTCTTGGGCGAAGAAACACCTCCCTGGTATCGCCATCGATGAGTCGCTTCCATCAATTTCCGTCATGGGTTCTGAGACTGCAAATTTTGGATTCCGACCGGGTTCTAGCAGCGGCATTGTGGAAAGTCCTTATGACGAGGGACAAGATTTGTTGGCGACGTCCCGACAAGGCTCAGGCCTGGACCGCGCAGCAGCATCGGTAGAGACATGGCTTCGAGGCGCATTCGCAAAATCTCCGGGCACACCCATCCTGGGAACCCGTGGCCGTCAAGCAGACGATCTGGATCTCATCGAGTTGACCGACACAAACAGCGATGATGGAAGGTTGCCCATCCCAGCAGGCAGCGGGGTGACCAATACAGGCTTGCTTGACGCTGCACCAATGATGGTCGGCTCGACTGGGAGGAGCGATGGAGAAGGTTCCGTTAGAGGACGAGGCTTGAGTAACAACGGAGCTGCAGCAAAGGGCAAAAAGTCGGACTAGAGCCCGCCCAAAGCAAGTCTACCTTCCTATGGAAGCGAACGACTTGGGAACTGGGGACTATACATGAGAGTTGCTTTTTCCAATACTGCCAATTCCTTAAACAAAGACTCAGCAGGAGCGCACCTCACGATCCAATTTTCAAGGAACAAAATGCCCACAAGGTGTAGGAGCGGTGTGCAGGTGCCGGATTTATGTACAGTGTTCGCGCATTAAACAGGCGTTAGCGGGCATTAATGGGAGGGGAGGGGGTTAGAAGGGAAGATGTTGCGTGGCCGGTAAGCTGTCGTTCAGCTTCCATCCGAATGGGGACGCGTGTAGCCTACCTGAGACCACCCATACCACCACCCTCAACCCCCCCCCCCCTTTTTTTTTATTTGGTAACTTGTTTACAATTTTTATATTCAAACATTTAGACTTGGGAGCACATTGGTTGCGTCTTTCTACAGTACAAGAGTGGGTTGTGGCCCAGGCTTGGGACATGCAATCGAGGATTGTCGCTTACGTTCGTTTGGACGAGGAGGGAAACTGAAGGGAGATTTGTGGCAAGGAAACGAATCTCGACGCTTCTAAATTCCAATCTTTGGCTTTGATTATATAGCATCATTCAAGCCCAGCCAGCTTTCAATACCACAACGCTTGAATTACGAGATACAGTTCTCTCGCTTACTCAACTGTTGCCTCACATTGGAATACTTGTATGCATTTCATAGGTCCATCGCTCAGGAATGTCCGGTATGATATTTCTCTCGCAATTGCAAGTAATAAATACGAAGCTCCCGTGACGGGATGGTATCATTTCGCGATACATCCGCGATGCACCTTCCGTCAATGTCGCTAGTTAACTTTTGTTGTAGATACTTTAGAGACGGCTGATAGAATTCGCGCAAAATCATCCTACTGCCTTCTCTACTGAGGCCCCAAACCCAGGTCGAGATTCATGCTAGCCAGGTCGCCGTTATTAATGCCGAAAAATTGGAACCTGAACACGATAACGTCAGCTCACTGCGGTGTCCTCGTTGCTCAACCGTGGCGTCTGCTTACCAATCTTCAACATTGAGCGTGTTTGGGACAGGTTGCCCTTGAGCAGATCCTGTGCTCCAGCTGTCACTTGGGCTTTGACCATCCGGCATCAATCCGTCAAAATTCGCCGTCCAGAGATTGCTGTTGAGACCGTTATTGTTGTTGGAGGTCTGCCCTTGACCATGTGACTGTTGTTGCTGCTGTGGTTGCTGCTGTTGAAAACCTTGCATGCCGGATCCAAGGACATTCGCGCCTTGCGAAGGGCTTCCGCTCAACCCTGTTTTATTAGTGCCTCGTGGCTGGAACTGGGTATTTTGCGCCGGTAGACCACTTTGCATGTTAGTGTTCTGCAGTTGCGCCATGAGGCCTGCGTCTATGCCTTGTTGATTCGGTAGCGGAGGCGACATGTGTGGAAACGCCGGCATACTTGCGCTATCTGGGAAAAGCTGATCGGGTTGGAAATTTTCCCACAAGGACTGAGAAATATTGGGTGAATTGCGCGTAACAAGGTAGAGGTCTGGCGGCGTGGCCGGCACAGAGAATGAAGGGTTGAAGGGTGTAGCTGGCCTGGTCTGCGGCCTAGAAGAGGTTCCGCCCATGAACGTGTCTGCGTTCTGTCTCGCATTGGGTGATGTGATAGGCGGTGGCATCGTCTGCTGATTTGGACCACCGTCGCCCTTCATGTGGCTGGGGGTCTGTGGGCGTGATCTTTCGTAGGACTCCTGAGGCGTTGGAGTGTTGACGCTGAAGTCGATCGCCATGTCATCGTACTTCCTCTTAGCGACGTCCTGGGGCCGCTGTTGCTGCTCGAGCTGCGCCAACGCCTGCTGTGCTTTCCTATGCCTCTTGCCCGCAGCCTTCTGCAATCGTTCCTCAAGAACTTTGTTTCCTATGATGGACTCAAACAAGGTGTATACCATCTTTCCTACCAGCCAAACTCGGGACACTTCCTTGAGGGCCTGCATGCATGTTCGTAACCTGTCCTGGGTCACCTGCTGGATCGATGGGACCGGTGACCTCATTTGGTACACGTGCATGATGAGTGCTGAGAATAAGCTGTACACGACAAAAGCCGGACAAAATCGAAGTTCGCCGTGAGCTGCCAAGTTCTCAATGATGGAGGTAATCATAGCCGCGGCTTGAAATGCGATGTTTCGTGAGGGATAGGGAGAATCGTCAGGAAAACGACTGCCTCCATTCGGTGGCATGTGAGCCCTGTGTAAAAGGCACAGTGTCGTGTAATAATTCGAGTGCAGCAGGGCTGACCAGAAGTGATGCCGAGCAACCTCCCAGTACACGATCTTTGGACAGTTTTGAAGCCAGTCCGCGAGAGCCATGTCGCTGTGTGTCAAGTCGATAGCGTTTCGCTGCCGACCTTTGGAGGCTACTGAGTACTGCTGGGACAGCACCAGACCCATGATTTCGCAGAGTTTGACGTACTGCATGAAAAATTGTACGTGTATGGGGTCGGGGGGATACTCGCTGTTACGATCGCCATCATCCTCGATGAAGTCATCCTCTGTGAGCATTTCAACGTCGGAATCATCGAGGTTGATGTGGACTGGTCGGCCGAGAGCGACGGCAACAGACCTATCTCGTGTGAACAGAGTCCACCAGATTCTTTTCCATAGTCTCTTGTCGGAGCGGCTGAGTTGTGACTGCTCAACACTTCGATGCATTCCAGAACCCTGAGCAACGATGGTGGCGACTCGACTCCAATAGAAAACGTTCTTGGTGACATCTTCCGGCCCTTCCCAGTACCAACCCATTAACAGTAATGACTGCACAATGGTAACCCGATCGTCCTCATAGTTGGCATCGTATAGGGCCTTCGCTCTCTTGTAGAAGGTCAGGGCAGCGGGCGTCGTCGAGCCGTTGGCATCCATTAGTTGCGGGTTCGTGCAGACTCTTGAGCCGGCCAGCAGCACAGCCTGCAAAAGCAAAAGGGACGGGGGGTTCTTGGGATCACGGTATTGTCGCATGAAGCGGGTCCGGTTAATGACCGGAACGATCGGATGAATCCATTTGAAGTAGGAGTCGATGAGCTCATCGCATAGCGACCTCGGTGGTAGTAGGAAGGCACCGCGCTGGTGCAGGATATCGATTTCGACATTGTCCAGCTCGGTCAGTCGGGCTCTGGAACCCCTGACATTTTCGGGTAGAGGGTAGTGGACAACGTCTGACGAGCCTTGTCGATCGTGTACGAGCAACGTCAGATTGGACGACTCTCCAAGATACGCAACCCTGCCGGCATCTGTTATTGGGGCTCTCGTGAACTTGGGTTTCATCACCAGGTTGAGATAAGTGCCACTGTCAACCTCCTCCTTTCGGGCTTGCGACTCGGTGTAGGTGGACGACGGCGTGCCATCCGTGGTGTGATAAACAGCGGGGGTCCGCGGCGGGAAAGTCCCAGGCCCTGGGGCAGGCACACTGGGAGCTCTCGGTGAACGATCATCGACATTGTCTCCTTTCTCGCTGGAGCACACCTCAGTTAGCCCATGATTGAGAGCCTGTGGAAACGGCGAAGCTGAGGCAGACCTGTCCGAGTCCTTGTTCGTTCCGGCATTGGTAGTCTTCTTGCGCTTAGGGGTCGGAATGCGACATTCTATCTGGAAGGCGACGCAGTTCGTGCAAGGAACGCCGAGGCTCGCGGCGTCGCATCGTACCTGAAGCAGATATTAGAATAAGAGGTTCGGCGAAGAGAGTCGATAGGATAAAAGTGCAAATGAAAATCGGTTGCTAGTGGGAGGTGGCCGTATCGAAGTGTAGTCGCCCCACGAAAGAGGACACAATTAGAGAAGAAGACTATTCGTACCTTGCGGGCGTGGCATGTCTGTACAATACAGAGTCACCTATTAGCTTTGATTCAGATAAAGAAGGGTCTACAAGAGGTGGGCGTGAGATCTCGCAGTGCCGCAGTGCACCAGTAGAGCGCAACGCGGCGCCGCGGCGCGGGCAGCGATACCTCGGCACAAAGTGGGCAGAGGGGCCACGGAATGGCGGGCGCGACAAAACACAAAGGTGGGAGACTACGTACCTCGCAAGCTCTAGAAGCTCGTTGCCTGTTCGATTCAACAATAAATTAGCACACAGGCTGTACCCGCCATTGATTGGAAGATAGCTACGGAGAGAAATCAACAGAAGGGAGGTTGGTGGTGAGGAACGAACCTGCGAAAACTCAAGTGGTTCGCCGCTGCGGCGGCGGCGGCGGCAGCAGCAGCAGCAGAGGCAGCAGAGCTACCTTGGGTGTTGGGACTCGTACCAGCGGGATTGGAAGACGTTCCTTGGGCCTGCGATGGCGACTCGGACTTTTGTGGTGACTGATGCTGATTTTGTTGCTGCTGTTGCTGCTGCTGAGCCGAAAGGTCGGTCGAAGACATATCGACATCCATAGGGAACGGTGGAGCGTGAGCTGCGACGGAGTCGTGAAGGTAATGTTGAAGAGACTCGTCGATGAATTTCTCCGGTCGACTAGTAATAGGAGGAGGGCCAGTGGGAGGGAACAGGTGTGGCAGCGGCCGAGTCACTGGCTCTGGTGGCCCAGGCGCAACAACGTCTGGCTCTGGCTCTGGCTCTGGCTCTGGCAGTGCTGGTGCTAGTATCGGTGCTGGTGCTGGTGCCGGCGTTGGTGTTGGTGCCGGTGTTGGTACTGGTACTGGGACTGGGATTGACGGAGGCAGCGGAGCCTGGTGATTATGGTGGTAGTGGTGGTGGCTGGTCTGGCCGGCTGGGTACGGGGAGTGGGAGTGGTGTTGGTGGTGGTGGCCCTGTTGCTGACGCTGGTAAGGCTTCTGGTACTTCTTCTGGTACTTCTGATGTGCGCGAGTATTGTTCAGGTGGCGTGGGTGCGGGTACGTGTGCAGGTGCGGATGCGGACGCGGGTGGAGGGGGGGTGAGGTGAGCGACAAGGAGTGGGAGCGGGAATGGGCGTGGGAGTGGTCAAGCGGTGTTTCCCCTGATGCCGGTGCTGCTGATGGGAAGAGGATGGACCGGCGGGACGTGGAACTGGAGGCGGTGGAGCTGCTAGTGCCGGTGCTGCTGGGGCTGGAGATTGATGAGATGGAATTCGGAAAGTGCACGTCTGCCGACGCTCCTGCTGCTCCCGCTGTTGGTGATGCTGTTGCTAATGCGGACCGTCCCAAAGAAGTAAAAGATGGATCGCCAGCAAGTCCGGAACCTACAGGTAGGTGCAATGCAAACGTGGGAACTATTACTCCTGCTCCTTCGGATATTCCTCCTCCTTCACTTATATCCGCTCCTCCCGTAGCAAACAACTGATGTTGCTCTGGCGGCTCTTGGTGGAATGGGAAGAGCACTGACGTTGGATTGGTCTCGCCTTGTTGCCGCGGTCCGGCAATGGCGTTGTAATTGTTCTCTGTCAGGATCCCAGATTCGGCCGCGTCGACAAACTGAGCCGCTGGAAGGTCAATGTCACGGTCGATACCGAGGTCAAGGCTGAAGGTCAAGTTCAGGTCCAGGTCGCGGCTGACGTGATGGTCGAGGCTGTGCTTTCTGACCTCAACGTCTGTGTCTTTGCTCAACGCTGAAGGGCTGGCTCCCTGTTTTTCTCGTTCAGATCCAAAGTAGTTTCGCTGCGACAGTGGTACGGATACGCTTTGTTGATAATGATAATGCTGATGGGTTTCTTGCTGGGTTTCCTGCTGCTGCTTCAATAGCACAACTCCGGGGAACTCAATGTCACCGTCCTCGTCAAGATTCGGCACACTTGGCCACGGGACCACAGCCATTCAACTTTGCTCACAGGAGATGGCTGATCTCCTGCTCTCGGATGGAAGGTTCTCCTTTGGCTGGCGGCTGGCGTGTATTGCTGTCGTGTAACTCGGATAATTAGCTACCGCGTACAAGGTGGTGTTTTCTTTGCGCAGGAGGAATTTCGACTGCCTGGGCAGAAGCCAGCATGTTCTGCAAATACAGATATGAAAAGACGACGGTCGATGGCACTGTAGTTCAACGGCAAGTACAAGGACCGTCGTGGGTCGCATACCTTCAAGTAACCTACAACATGGCATACCGCGAACGAGGTCCCTACAGACCTAGAGCTGCTGTCATGTATGCTGCTCAAGATCCCTGTTTTCCTGCCGAGATACCCTGGTGTTTTTTTTGTGGACGCTTTTTCTTGGTCTGATGGTTGAACAGAGTTGCCGCCTGTAGGTTTGAGGTCGGCCGATGACGGGATATTAGAGATCAGGATCAGAAACCAAGTCGTGTCCACCCAGATGCCCGCTGCATATGCCGATTTGCCGCTGCTTGCGTTCCTTCTTGAGCGGCCCCTCTTACCATCACTAAGCTATTCACCAGCCAGCATAGACAGAAAAGGCAGTCAGCTTTAGCTTTAGCAGTATCGAGCCCTTGGCGTTTCTACCGCTTGCTGTCGCCTGCTCCCGGGTTCAACGTTGCATGCGACCCACTATTATGGTATGCACTGCACTCTCTCAACGTTCACTCGCTGCTTCTCGATGTCTCGCAATCGGCTCCCGTGTAAGTAAGGTAAGCTCGCCTGCCCTTGTCCCGGGACGATCTGCCTTGTACCATGAGCAAAAGGAAGAGTCGAAATTTGAAAGGCCCAATCGCACCGAGGGAGGTCAGGCCAGTCATCTGGTCCCAGCTTCGTTTTCTTTCAGATATCGGATCCAGTTGAGGCTCGACTTGTCCAACTAAAGCCGCAGCGGGTCCTAAAACAGGCGTTATTTTGCGTTTCGTTCCTGGTGATCCGCAGCTATGCTTGCTTTTGAGGCTTGGGTGTTTTGCGCCGCGACAAGATACGCGTGAACGGGAGCGAGCATCGTCTATTATAGACAACAGAGACGATAACTAGAGTCTGGAAGAAAGGATCCGGCTACGTGAGCTGACACCAATACCAAGCCCCCAGGTACAACGCAAAAAAGAATCACATCATGCCCGTCCTTAGCATGTAGTTTCTACGTGACCAACGCCAGGTTTCGCCTCTGACGCCGCCAATGGTTAGCTTGGTGGTTCCCTTGGCTCTTGACGCCGAGATTATGGTCCCGTGGGTGAGTGTGGCAGCCTCGAGGAAGTGTACCCCAGGCCGATGGAATAAGAAGCCACAAACGTTTACGGGGCAAGCATGTGAGACTTTTCAACGGTGCAGCCGCTCCCCCGCCAGCGTCTTGGCTCCGGCTTCTAGCGAAGACGGAGTGATCGTGTGCCATGGCCCGCCCATGATGTAGGTACGTAGGGTACCTCGGGTATGTGCAGAATTGAGGTATCAAGTGTGACGGGAAGCTAGCCTGCGTAGCCCATGAGGCAGCCGGACATGAAGCAGTATTTGTTGCCGCAGGTGGCAGTGATTCAGAATCCAACCCACGCCACAGGTTGAAAAAGTCATGCGCTACTTCGTGTTGGGAATCAGAGACTGACGAGTGAACCCACTCGTTCCGCTCCTCCCCGGCCATCCATCTCACATTTGTTCTTTTTGATGCCCTTTTCGAACCGGTAGGTATGGGTATGGGTATGGGTGAGGGTGAGGCTGGGCGCAACCCGCTAGATCTGGGGTAAAGAGATGGAATTGGACATGGTGGACGGGGAATGGACTCCTAAGGGTGCGGGTTGCGGTTGCAGACCCAGGCTCCAAGGCAGGGAAGGGCAAGGGCCAGGCGCAGGCCCGTAACTTAAGGGGCGGGGTGCAGGCTGGGCGCGCGCGCAGATGCAGGTAAGGAGCAGGATCGGTGCGGTGCGGTACGAAGTAGGTACGGTGATCGAGTGGTGGTGATGTGCTCCTGCTTCTGCTTTGGGAGGGCCGCTGTGGTCGCTGTGGTCATCGCGGTACGTCGCGGCACGTCGCGGTAAGGGTATGGATCGGGGGTGTGCTCCGAAACGGTCTGGTCCGCGCATGCATTACTTCTTTAGGCAAGGACCACGCTGTGTGTCTCCGAGTGGATATCTGCTGCCTCCAGGCTCCCTGAGGGGCTCAGAATGCTGCCGAGAAAAGCATATGATCACGACCTCAACTACTGTACATGGCCACGCTGCTCTATGTGCGTCTAGTGTCAATCATGCAGCAGCGCAGCAGCAGCCACAAACTTGAGAGTGCGTGGGTGCTCACTCTCCTGTCTGCACCGTCCAACCTCTCCATGATCGCTCGAAATCGGGAGGGGATGGGGGGGGAGGGACATGGATTGGCTCTGGTCTCGCCGGGCACTTCCGATTGCTGGGCAGCGTTTCCCTGGCCATGGCAAGGGTACCGGCGCATGCGGCAGCACCACCACCATCACCACAACTTGGTAAAATATCCAGAAATTGCCATGGCGATATGCTTAAGTGGTGAAATTGAGAGATGGCGCGGCGCACGGCACTTTTCCAGGGGTGGAAGCACTGACGTTGCGACAGAGTCGATTAGTTGAACTGCTCATCAAGATTTCCGCGCGCGGAACCCGAGCAATGGATGGCACGATGGCGACTGGGATACTAGCTGTAAAGCAATGTGCCGCTAGTGTACCTCCACATGGTAACTAGTACGAGACAGGACTTTTCTCTCTCCATGTGCGAGGGCCTGTCTGTAGGTGCGTGTGTGTGTTGCACAGCCGGTGACAAATGCTTCTGCCAAAGTTGGCTTCGAGACGCCACAAACTCTCCAAGACGAGGCCCTGTGAGGACGGAACCGTTACTGATGCTGTCTTGAGATGACTTCGATCCACCATCGTCGGAGGAACGGCGACTGAACAGTCCCCGCGCTGTTTACCGGTTTGGCGTGTTGATTTAGAGATGCAGCTTCGCCCGTGGGCTACCTACCGTCACATCCCGATGTATCAACGTGCGCGTTACAAAATCGATATTCCTCTTCCTCGAGCATGCTTCTTGAAGGCTGCCAACCCAGAGTGCATTGAGCCCTTGAATCTCTACCGAGTGCAGAAATGACTACAGTTCTCTAGTAGTAAAACATCCAGGCTCTTGCCTCGACACCTGGTCCTGACGTCTACTGCCCTTCCCCAACTTTCATTGCCCGATATATTCCCCGCCTGCTTCAAATTGATACTGTTGTCTACCTAACACTAGTGTACACCTGTCTTCCTCCCCGCCCGACCACCCCCCACCCTTGCAGAATCGCGGGTCCGGCTTTCTCGGCAGGCAAGAGAAAAGCCATGTCCAACTAGCCCGGTGTAGGTAGTACATCCACCGCATTCTCCGATCCTGTAACTTGGCGAAAGTAACCTGTATGGATATATATTATAGGACAGAACAAGACATGTCCAAGGTTGCTACCACATCATACATGCACGAATGAAACGCCCAGCCAAGGAACTAACGTCCAGCATTTGATATCTTCAATCACAAAACTAGGGGCTGGTTGGGTTGCTACGTCTCTACTTCCCCGCATTATGTCCCCGGGTCCTCTCTTAGATCACTCAACTCCAGGCAGATCACCATGCTAGTCTGTTGTAAATTCTGTCATCGCGCGGTTCCTTGCATGGCAGATGGCCGTAGCTCCCCGACCCCCGTCCGCATTGTTCCCTTTCCTCCTGTCCTCTCCTAGCGAACGGGATCAGCTCAATAAAATTCTCACCGCGCTTCCCGTCCCCCTACGGCCAACAGTATATCCCGGAGCAGCCCTTTGGATCACCGGGGATTCACAGGTTTAAATATAACACAATCTCTGTCTAGACAATGCCGAGGCAAAGTAATGTCTGGAGACGGGGGCTTGAGCCGAAATCTCGTCATCGGCAAGAACCACGTATCTGAAGCCAAGCGCTCTGCCCGGACATGATAGGGTGGTGTATAAGGATGTCACCAGCATTCAAGTCGGTCAACGGACGGCACGTAAAAATGGCGATTTGTAGATACAGCTTGCCAAGCTCATCCCGGGTCTTACCGGTGTCTGCAACGTCCAGGATATCCTGCGGGTTGTTTCCATACATATGAACCCATCCCAATCCGGTTATCACCAGGCCTTACAGTAAACTAGTGTTTGATGCCATCATATGTACATTATCCTCAGTCTAATTAAAACTGTGTTCCGCTTTAGCTTTCAAACAGCAAACTATGTCTTACCGTTGGCAGTTGTGCCTTCGGTGGAACTAGACACCAACGTTCCGTTCTGCCCGAGCCTTGGTCGAGACTCCTCAACCTCGGTGCCACTAATGAATGCAGCGCTGACACCCTCTAGAAGCGCCACGAAGACGCACAGTAGACTTGCTATGACAAAATGGCTAATGGTCGAGCCGATCTCCAGCCAAGAGCCCTCGTCCTTCACCACCCAGAAGAAGTATAGTGTGAGGACATCGCTGATAGCCATCACAACCATGAAGAGAGAAGAAGGCGCCACGCCAAGTCTGACATTGAGGATTCCAAGATTCGCCGAAATGAGAGCGAAAGGAATCATGAGCTTGACAACGAGTAGTGCTCCCTGTGAGAACGGATCGAAGATGGGGATCAGGCGATACACGCTGTCCAGGCTAAAGGACGAAACGGAAGCCACATTTCCGGTACTGAAGAAGGCTGATTGCAGCAAAACGAAGAAGAACAACGAGACTCGGGCGTCGGCGAGAGTCAAGGCCCTGAAAGCCGATGTGGACCACTCCTGTGGGCTATTGGTAGTGTCATTCGATAGGTAGCGTCGTTCCCCTTCAGTGCCCTTGCTGAACACGAATACACGATGTTCCAGACCAACCCAGGCGACCAACAAAATACTGAAAGCCACGTAAAAGAGGCCTTCGTAAGAGATGGTCAAAATTACGAAAGTTGGGGCACAGGTCAAAAACATGGTCATCAGGCTATGCTTGTAGTGGTTATTGGGTTGCAGACGCTGAGCCAACGGCATAAGCAGCGAAATGGCTGCATAGGTGGTTAGTAACGCCGGTAAGCTGTCCTATCCTTTAAGACTTACCCAGAACAAGCCAGCCTACGACTTGATTGCCCCGAGGCAAACCCGCCTTGGCCTGGAGAGAAACGGCGCTGGATCGAGTAACTACGATTGCGAGCAAAATCAAGCCGATCTACAAGTCTTCTTGTTAGCCTGTTCTCTTCTAGCCCTTCAACTTGAGAAAAGTTACTCACCTGGACACCGGTCAGAGCCCTGGATATTGGCAGAGCTGGCCTTGCCAAAAGTCTGTCCTCCCAGATAAGATATGCTAAACCAATGGCGGCCATGACGATTCCACCGGCCACACTGCCATACGTCAGTACGTTACAGTTTTCTCTCTCTCTCTCTTTTTTTTTTTTTTTTTTCCTTTTTGGAATGGCATGTGTTGGACGTACATTAGAGAGATGTCCTCGGACTTCATAGCTGGTAGTAATGTGAACAAGCTCATGACCAAGCAGGAGAAGAACCAGACGACAGACAACAGAGAGTTCAACTGAAGAAATCTCAAGCCATATGTCATTGGCCAAAAAGCCGCGAGAACGTAGATGACGGTAAGAACTTCGCGATGAATATATCCTAGGGCCTGTGTGCCTGGTTTAGCATTGTCCACCAGCCAGAAGAAGTGTATCTCACCAGAGACACGATAATGCCTATGTAAGCCATTAGGTTCACTAGAAAGGAAAACACACTCGCTCCGGTCTTGATGTGCCCGAAAAGAACCTTCCGTCCTGCAATGAGAGAGTTGCGTCTGGCCCAGACTTCCTCCCAGAAGACGACGGGGAAGAAGCCATAGGCATAATAAGTGATCGGAGACTTGGAAATGATGAAGGATGCGTACAGCGCTGCGAGGACAGATGTGAATGCCGACGTGCCCCAAGTCGTTCGGGAGGGAGGCTGGCTGCCACGCAGAACATGCAGATCAACGACAACCGTCAGTGCGAACGCCATCCAGCCAAGGTACCCAATTGTGACCAGAGTGCGGAGGAACAGCCAGTCATAAGTCTGAAGGTATCTCAAGCCCTCCAAGGCAATCTTCATGAGAGCAGCAGACTCCTCAATGGCCTCTTCATAGTTGCCAGCGTCAGTTAAGCGTTGGATAGCGGCCACTCGGCGCTCAGGGGCCAGATCGGCGTCGCTCAACGGCTGGAATGGTCGGTAGCGAAGCTCCGTGGCCTTCTTCTGCTCTTCTTTAACCCTGTACATCTCTAGAATTTCGCGAGCGTTGATAAGCGCCGCCTGCGCCTTCTCCTCGATACTTGACGAGATGTAGGACAAGGGAAGCTCGCCAACTGAGTTGGCAGGGAACTCCACACCAATCAAATACGCCATCAGGGCAGCAATATCAGCTTGCGCCACGTCGTGTCTTTTAATTTCATCAAGATGCCAGTCGGAAGAGTACTCGTCGTGTCCCGGAGCAACAGAACCAGAGGAGAGCACCGGCGGTGCAATGCCAGATCCCCAGGTGATCAAGGGTGTGCGAGTGTTGTTGGGATGGCCATCGCCGTGGCTTCCCCAGTCACTCATGCCGTGGTCAGCAGTGAAGACGAAAGCGGTCCGGTCATCGGCGTAATAATTCTCAATGATTTCTGTAATCTCCTTGACACCTTGGTCCACAACCTTGATGTTATGCAAGTATTCCTTCGAGTACGGACGGTACGAGTGCCCGTTGGTATCTAAGCCGAGAAGATGAAGAAAGAAGACGACCTTGTCTTGGCGCAAGGCACTTTCTAGAGTCTCGTTCTTAGCTGCATCGGCGAAAAGCTCCTTGACATGGTCAAAGACCCAGAAGTCCAATTGCAGCGCATCTTGACTGAAATCCTCAAACTCGTGCCCGTATGTGTAGGAATCGACGCGCCCGGGGACAGCGCCTTGCTCGAACATGGGCAAAATATCGGGTGATCCCCAGCTCCAGGTATGACGGCTCCGGTTAAAGACGCTGTCGAAGTTCACAGGGTTGAGCTTCCAGCCAGTCGCCACGGCCGAGACGTCTTCATAAAGACCGGCAATGAGCGCAACATGACCAGGGCGAGATTCAGTCGGCACACGCGTGTGCGACACCCCGAAGGTGCCATGTTCCAAGACGCGGGATCGTAGGAAAGGGGCAAGAGGTCGCGGGGTCAAGTCATCCTCGGATTCGGGGTAGGGGTCGGGAAAGGACTGGAAGGCCTTATCAGCTCGCAAACCGTCTCCTGGAATAGGGTGTCAGAAGCTTGCTATAGGTTTCATGAAGTATTGGAGAAGGTAGAGGAGCGCATACCCACGAAAAGAACCAGACGATCAGCAGGAGCTTTGGAATTTTCCGGTCGATCGACTTGGACGAGCTTCATGCCCGAAACAATTGGACTGACAAAGTAAATGTCAAAAATCGAATAGATATAAGCGAGGTGAAAGATGACGGCGACGGCTAAAAAGCCGGCGCGCGAGGAGACAGCCATCACGGACGAGGGGGAAGGGGAGAGACGTCTCTTCTTTGCTTCGTTGTCGTGTCTCTTGTGGTGTCTTCTCTTGCGCGCTGGAAGGAACTAGGAGTAGTTCAATCAACGATGGCCTGGGGGTATGACACGCCCAGAGTGGGTAATGGATGAGTAAACCCACTCGTTCAGCGCCCGAGTCGATTGGCCTGGTAGATGACGGGGATCAAAAGAGTGAAGGGGAAGAGATCGAGGGCTCTACGTTAGAGAGTGGAAGCGCGTTCATCTCATGGCTCGCGCATTGCTCCTATACTAAGGCAAAGATAATGATGTTGGTGCACAGCGCTGGACGTTCACTCGTGAAAAACGGGAGCACAGCCGTCCCGTCCAGCCCAATGCAATCGATGTCTAGTCCAGGGTCGAAAATCGTCCCGCTTGTTGTATCCGTATCGACGCGGAAATTATTGGTTTTCGCGACACGTTTCCTACCTTAGAACTGCACGACGTATGGAGTATAGGGATCAAAGACCCACATCGACATCGGCTGCCCCACGCCGTGGAGCGGGAGCGGCTGTGTGCATATAGCGGGGCTTACACAGCTCACATCCTGGATATAACCTATATTCCCTGCGCATACTCTCTACCTGGCACATGGTACCTTTGTACAATAATTGAGAACTATGTTAACGATTACCTACGTTCCTACCTCGCTATTGTTGTATTCCTATCCGTGGTTTAGTAACAGACTTTGTGAAATATATGGTAGGTACCTAGGGTCGAATGACAGAATGCCCCTATCCCTTTCCCCTATCGAACGGTGCATTCCCGAAGCAGCTAATCACAGACGTGGATCTCGTTACATGGCGGTTTGGTTTGTTGCTGGGACATCAGGGTGTTCGGTTTTCTTACGTGGTGCTAGTCGAGGCCAATCAACTGAAACCTAAGCCGCTTTTTTTTTTTGGGGGGGGGG